TTAGTTGAGAACACCCTCTTGGTTTGAGGAAAGAGGAAGCTGTTGTGTCCCTTTCTCTTCATAAGGGCACTAATGCCATATTGGGCACTCGTGATCTCATCGTAACCAAAATACATGCCAAAGACTCCACCTCTTAATACCATCCCTTTAGAGGTTAGGACTTCAACATATGAATATTGGATAAACACACAATTCATAACACAAGGGTAATTACCATTGTAATTATTAATTCATGATCAATTTTGCTTCTACCGTCTTTTCAGCTATCCTCCCCACCTCCCTGTAAAGATTAAAGTAAATCTTAGACACTTTATCATTACACCTATATTTTACTATGAATCTCTAAAGAGTTTTCCTTTGAAAAAACACTCATAACACCATCACCACCAGCCCCAGAAAAATTTAACAAAGATTTCTTAATAGCAATAATATCTAGTCACCAGTCATATTTCTCTGATCGTCACAAAATTTTTACTCGTGATATGTTAATCTGTATCTTTAGTCTCTTTTAATTGGAAGATTCCACTTCCAGCCTTTTCTTTTCCTTGCTTTCTTTCCTAAAGAAAGGAAGGTATTTGCTCTGTAAAGAATTACATATTCTGGTTTTGCTGCTCACAACCTCCTGTATTTGGTAGTTTGATCCAGAGCCTTAATGGGATTCAGGCTTTATTTTCTTTGCAAGGCTACTACTTCATAGGTGGTACTTTGAATTCTAAGACAAGGTACATAATATCTGCTTGTGTTTCCGTTCATTATCTTTTGAAAGTAGTCATCGCTCCAAACAATGGAACTCATGATTGGGGTATGCTGCCACCAGGTGGTAACAACATGCCATAGCCACAGGCTCAAGCTGTAAGAAACACACTCCTGAGAGAGCCCAGAGTCAGGATATGTCCTCATTGAAACTACATCAAATCACCAAATCACTACATCAAATCTTAAACATACCTCAGGGATACTTTAAAAATAAATGAATGCTGTGTTTTATAGCACATAAGAATAACTACAATTTATTGAGCCCAGAGGTTGTGTATATATGGTCTTATTTAATTCTCACAACATGAAGCAATATTAAATCATTGTGTCCCTGGTGAAAGAGTGGTGAGGTTGGGATTTGATGCCTTTGCTTGTTCTTTGAGCCATTTCTGTGCCTTGTTCCTTCTCTGTACTTGCTATCCACCCCATCCATTTGCACACCTCCAGCTCACAGCTGCACTGCTTTCCTTTCTGTTTGTTCATTTGTTTCCCCCACAGCCTCTCCAATCCATTCTCCATCCATCCCTGCTCAGGGATTTGGCCTCTGTAGCTTCTGTCACCAGGCTACCATACCTGCTGGCTTCTAGTCCCCAATTTATTTTTTGTGCTTTGTCCCTACTTTGCTCTGTTTCTGAAAGGCTACATGCCTCATCTTTGCTCCAGGTGGCTGTCTTCTGTGGTTTTTCTCCTCAGCTTCACTTAATACAATTTTCTCCTCTTGCTCCTCAGGCCTCAGGGTTTTAACAGCTTTCCTCCATTCCATTCCCTGTGAGTCTCAGTTTCCCCCTGAGTACCCTTACTCCATTTACCTTAATAAAAAGTACCTTTATTAAGCTGTCACTAAAAAAGTCCCAGCTGAGATTCTCTCATAACCTCCACTCACTTTATCACCTTCATTTTCTCAGTTCACTTCAGTGAGGCCAGCACCTGAGTACTTCACTGAAAGGTTACCAGTTCCCACCTTCCTAGCCACTGGTGACTGCTCAGTTCTCATTTTACTTTTAATCTCCTGTCACCTTTTGACACATTCCTTAAAGCACTTTCTGCCTAGGCCCATTCATCCTGTGCTTGTTCTGGTACCTTCTCAGTCACTCCTTCTCTTTCTGACTGCATCTTAGTGTCATGTCTTACTGTTCAATTCACAAATCTCCATCTTTACTTTTTCCCTATTCATCTCACCTAATCCCAAAGCAGCTTAAATGCCATCTCTACGCTATAACTCCCCAGTCTGTCTGTAGCCCCAATCTATGTTCAGAGTTCCGGAATCATCCACCTAGCTACCTATTTGCCACTAGAAAATGAATGAACCTTAAATAGAATTCTTGATTCCAGACCTCATCCCACTTCCAGCCTTATCACAACCATTTCTGCTGATGGCATCACCATTCCCCTAGCTACTCTTGATTTGTCACTTCTCCTCACTCCCCAAGAACCAATCCATCAGCAAGTCTTGTGGGTTCTTCCTTCAAAATATACCAAAATATGAAAACAGACACACCAATCAATGGAATATAATTGAGAGCCCAGAAACAAACCCACACATATCAACATTTCATCTATGACAAAGGAGCCATGACCGTACAATAGAGAAAGGAAAGTCTCTCCAGTAAATGGTATCTGGGAAATTGGACAATCAGATGCAAAAGAATGACAATTTCTCACACCACAGAATCCATAGAGCCATTGATCACTCTAACTCTACACATGAAAGTAGATTCAAAATGGATTAAAGACTTGGGGGTAAGGCTGGAAACTATAAAATACATAAAAGAAAAATAGAGGTGATAGGCTCCATGATACCAGCATTAGAGATGTCTTTGGGTAGTCAACCCCAGAGGCAAGAGAAATGAAAGCAAAAATGAACAAATGAATTAATTCAAATTAAAAAGCTCCGCATAGTGATTGTCTTTAGTAGTTCTGTTTGGTTCTTTAGGGGAGCTGGTTGTTTATGGATCTAACTCTTCTATCTTTGAATTACCTTGGGCAGAGGTCACCTCTTCCTTTTTCTGGCATTGCTCTAAACAGGTTCTGGTACAGGATAGACTCTGGTGGCTGGTGAAACAATGAATAGCACTAATTACCTTGTGTCAGAGGGGCAGTTATTTTGTTATAGAGATGATGCATGTAAGTGATCATTAATTACTCAAAATACTGTAGTTGGTTTTATTATTGCTAATGGTGTTATTATTGGTAGCGATGTTGCATCACAAAAGGCCTGACACACTTCGTTACTGACTCATGAAAGAGAGCAGAGGAAGCATAATTTAACCCTCTACTGTTTCATGAAGAAAGAGTCCACGAGGGTCAGGATGTCTGTTATGCCTCACAGCTCAGAGTCCTACCTCCTGGAACTGGACTGTTTTTACCTTGGGTTATAATTACATTCCTTAATTCAGTAATAGCCAAACTCTTTTGAATCTGTACACTCAAAATAATTTTGAAAATCTAAGTAGACATCTAATTTTTCTCATGATTCCAAAATCATAATTTTGAATAATCACAGTTTGTCATTTTTGGACTACTGTAAATTTTAAAAAATTATTATAAACATCTTAAAGGCAAAATGCAGCATCACTCCTTTTAAGATATCCATTGGATTAGGAACACCAGAATTCACTGATACCCATCATCATCCATTTAAAAATACACAATCGGGCCTCCCCAGTAGCCTGGGCGTTGAGTCTCAGGGCTACCACCACTATAGCCCTCCCCCAAAGCTGCCAGAGTTAGATCTGCCTGGAAGCTAATCCATATCGCACCACTGACCTCTCCTGTCTCCAGCCTGCTGCTCCCCTCAGCAGTGTATCTTAGTGTATATGCCTGTTCTGCTTCCCACTGTGTTTCTGGTGAGTCCTCTTATTCCCTCCCCCCACCTCTGGCCCGCACCCCAGTTCTTCTACACAAAAATAAATAAAATAAAAATATTACAATAAAGGAATAATTCTTTAAAAAAATAAAAAAAATACACGATCTATTTAAACACTTATTTCCCACCCTTTTCTCATTACTCATGTTTCCATTTCACATTTTTAAAGATTTATTTTATTTATTTATGCATACAATCTGTCTTTTTGGTAAGAGGTTGTTTCATGGTTACTGCTCTGAAGGCTGGGTTGTTTTTGAAAAAGATATTTACAAGTAAACTGTAAGGGCATGCATGGTGAAGACCTACTCTCATCCCTTTTCACTGGAGAACTAAATCTGCTTATCTTTATCTACTGTGCCTTCCCCATAACTTCCCTAGCTAACCTTCGCTTTCTCTTCCCTGAAGTCCGTCTAAGCTATTATATTTAAGATGGTGTCTGAAGCCAAGTGGGTGAGACCAGCTGGGTCCCTCCTACATATACAGGAATTATCTATGTTGTTATCAAAATTCTTTTATTTTTTTTTTCTCTTATCAATCTGGTGCTTTGCCATCCTGGAAGAACCCAGAGGGGTATGAAATGATTTCCTCTGTACCTCAGCAATACCTTGCATTAGCTAATGGATAATTAATTTAACCGAGTTTTCCCTCTTTTTTTTTAAATATTTATTTACTTATGCATACAAGAACTGGGGTACAAGTCAGAGTTGTGGGGGTGGGCGAGATGATTTACCAGAGACAGAGCGGGGAACAGAACAGGCAGATTGACTGAAATACACTGCTGAGGGGAGCAGCGGGCGCCACAGGAGAGGTCTGCCGCGCCATGTGGGTAGCTCCCTGGCCGACTGGGGCTGTAACTCATGCTGCAGTGGCTGCGGACAGCTTCACGGTGCTGTGCTCAACCCCTTGCGCCACCAGGGAGGCCCGGGCTTTTCCTTTTTAAGTCCTCCTGGCAACACATTTTAATAAGCTTTGAAGAGGGTAGAGTGTATTTATATTGTGTGGGAAACAGTCACTGGGAAAGCGGGGGTCAAAACCGAGAAGCAGGACGAATAATGACTTCTCTGTAGGTGAATTTTCGGAAGCAGAATGTAAGGAAGTTGATTATGTGGACACGTCACCTGGTCACGCTACCTGAAAAATCTCCGCGGGCCTTTGGTATTTGAAGACTGAAGCTCAAAATCAACACCTTGAGTCACCTTTTCCTCAGACCTGGGGCGAGCCGAGCAGCCGGGCTCCCGGCGCGCACTCGCCCCGCTTCCCCCTTCAAGCTGTGGGGCCGCGCGCCCCCGCGCACGCCCCTCCCTGGGTTCCCTTCGCGCGCCCCCGCGGCGCCCCGCCCCTTCCTGCCCGGGAGGTTTGATTCCTTGGCGGGCGGAAGCGGCCGCAGCTCCAAGCCCGAAAGGCTCCTACTAGTCCCGGTACCCGCTGCCCGGCTCCTGTGCGCAGCCAGGCAGGCAGGCGTTCGATCCACCTGCCCGACCCCATCCCGCCTGACCCTCCGCCCCTAAGGTCAGTGTCTGCTGCTGTAGGGGAGGGGCGGGGCCCCGGGGGTGCGGGGTCCGGGGGAGAGACGGTGCGCCCCAGTTTGCTCCTGTCTCATCGGACACTGGAGAATTTCACTGGAGCCTCACCTTGTGCGCCCAGTTTCCTGGATGGGATTTGTAGCTCCTCCGAACCCCCACTTTTGGCCTCTGTTAGTGGGATAATGGTAGGATCCACCTCGGGGCCATCGGTGGGGTGCGCAGGGGTGCTGTTGGCCAGTAAGGGGGCTGCCGTGGATGTGAATTTCATCCCCAGTTTCCATGGCCCGACTGTTTCCGCCAAAGAAGTCTAGATAGAGTTTCGAGGTGTTTTTTTTTTTTTTTTTTTTTTCTGTTGATACAACTTAGTTTACTGCAGCAGTTCAGTCAAATGCCCACTTTTCAGAATTCAAATCCTGCTTCTACCTTCATCTTCTCTAAGTAGTGGCCTAAGAGGCTCACCCAGAAAAGGTGATAAGCTCCGAATGTTGTAGCCGTAAAAAAAAAAAAAAAAGAGCAGCTCCGGAGAAACCTGTGGGAAAATGGGGCACTCCCTAAGAAGGGTGTCCCAAGAAAGCGATCAGGTCGCTAGCACCTAGGATGAGTTTTTGAGCTTCTCCGCTGGTCTTTGGTAATGGTGGAGGTTGGAGGAGAAAGGGTGGTGGCCATCAGAGGTGCTGGGAATTTTGCTTAGACATCGCTGTTCCTAACTTTTCGTTCGTATTTTCGTTTCTGTTCTCGTGTTTTGTGTGACAAATCAGAAAAAACAAACAAACAAACAAAAAAAAAAACCCCAAAAAACCCTTTCTGTCCCTTCATGGGATTGGTATACCCGTGGATCTGTCCTTTATCTACTGTGGACCAACGAGATGTGCGAATCAGTCCCTTAACTTTTTAAGTCTAGCTGTAATTGATTTTGTGTATGGTAGGACATAGAATCCAGTGTTTTTGTTTTTCCCATAGGTCTAACCATTTCACCCAGCTTCAAATCTGCATTTCTATTTGTTGTTACCTCTATAAGCAGGTTCAGATTTTCTTTCTCTGGGATCTTTGAACCTAAATTCCCTATTTCTGGAATGCTCTTTCTTTCTTTTTGGATTGATAACTCCACTGAGGGCCTACCAATCAAAGACACATGTGTAGTTAGAAAAAAAAAAAAATTGGTGTATTTAACTTGCTCCAGCAAGAGGAACCACATTCCTTAGGACTCAGTAAAAGTGACTTGAAAGAAAGGGATTTATGGGATTTGGGTTTGTGCTGGGTGATTTAAGAAGGGATAGGGAAGCAGGGACCAGTTTTGGATTGGAAACTGTCAAAGAGTGGGAGTATTTCAGCATATTTGGGGTATCTTAGGAAGCAAGAGGTGGGAGGAATGAGGATGTCACTGTTGAGAAGGCAAAGTCATTATCATTTTAAGAGCCTTTTATAGAAATATTATTTACATGGTGATGTCTCTGTATTGTTGGAAACATTACTCAGATCGTGATTACTAACAGGGTTGATCTTTTTCTCACTATCCTTTGAATTAGATCTTGGTTTAAAGCTCAGTAGTCCCATTTTAAACATGGTTGCTTATTTCTTTCCCAGTATTGATTGTAAGTCAAAAATTTTTCATCTGCTATTTATTTGCTTTTTTTGTCTCCTTTACTGGAATGCAAAATCCATGCCAATAGGAACCACTTTTCTCTCTTATAATCCTAGTGCCCCGGTAGGGTTAGCACATCATAGGTGCCCAGTAAATATATCTGCATGATTAAATGAATGAATAAAATAAATTTTAGGGTTAATAGTCTACGACTGCATTAGCAGGTCTTAGACTCTTGCCAGGCAGAGCATATTCTTCACAGAGCTCTATGAGTGTGACCTTACGTATTAATGTATATAGAAGGACCCCCACTAAATCCCATGTTTTTTCAACCTTTATATATATATATATATATATATATATATATGGAGGTAACTTTACTGCTCTGTGTGGGTTTCAGGTATACCTGTTTCTCACCTCAGCAACTCTGCATATCACACCACACCACAACCAAATATCCAGTCACCATCCACCAACAACCAGCCTGTCTCACCTTGCTCCCTCCGTTCCCTCTGGTAACTACCATTCTGTTGTCTAAGAGCTTTTAAAAAAATATTATTTTTATAATTCTTCTAAATTTTAAAATGCAGGAAGAAGATAATCAAATCAGATCTACTTAACACTTTTTGTATTAATCAATACATACTTGATTATATATAGCATGTAAGTTGTGAAGTATAATTATAGTATTTCTCATATGTAACCTAAAATTGTATGTCATTGGAATCTTAATTGCATTACATTTACAAATTAAATTGGGCATTTTTTCATGTTTTTATTGTCATTGTGCATCTTTGTGAAATGCCCTTTTATATCATTTGCTTATATTTCTGTTGGTTGTTTTTTTTTATTTGCTATATGCACATAATCAGTGCATAGAAATTCACAGTTACGTGTTGCAAATATCTTTACATTTATGGTTTTTTAAAAAAATAATGTCATTGGGCAGGCAGAAGTTTTCAGTTGTAATGTTGTATGCATTAATCTTTTATTATCAGTACTTTCTGTATTTATTGAAAAGATTGTCTTCTAATCTGGAATCATGACAATATCTTTAAAAAACTTTTAGAGGTTATTTAAAAAAATTAAAAAAAAACTTTTAGAGGTTTATCTTTCATATGTAAGTCTTTGCTTGATCTGGAGTTGACTTTTATGTATGATGTGAGGAACGAGTTTAACATGACTAATCAGTTTTTTAGTATCCCTTATATATCTAATACTTGTTTTTATCTGCAGTTATAAGAATGTAGGAGATAATGTCATCATAGTTTCTTGTTTTTTGTTTCTGTCTTCTAGGATCTTTTTGTAATTTTGAGTAAACTTCCAGGACTATGAAAGATTATGATGAACTTCTCAAATATTATGAATTATATGAAACTATTGGGACAGGTAATTATTTATTTTTTCTTGGAGGCAGAGGATAGATCAACTATTTGGGCTGTCATGAGTTTTTAAATCTAACCTATGTAGTTTCAAAATTCTTCTTGCTCTAGTAGGGAAAAAAAAAACTGAGAGAGAAGAGGAAGAGAAGATTTGTAGGTCATTTTATTTAGAATAAAAATCACTAGAGAGTTTTGAGCTAAGGAGTGACCTGACCTTTGTTTTTAAGTGTCAGTCTGACTGTGTAGTTGTGAGAAGATTGGGTGAGGGAGAACAAAGGTAAAAGCAGAGAGCTGTTTGGAGGTGATTGCAGTCATTCCAGGTGAGTGATGCTAGAGATGATGACTTGGACAAGGGTGATGGTAGTGAAGGTATGAAAGGGGTGGAATTCTGTAAATGATGTATGTGTGTGTGTGTGTGTTTCAATTTATTTATTAGGTATAACACAGCCAAATAAGCAAAGGTCTTGAGTATCAGTGTAATTTTCTGTTATATACCCATGTTCTGCCTGCTGAGATCAAGATAGAACATTTCAAGTCAGTACCTGCTCACTTTCCCCCAGGGTAACCATGATATATTTTGAAGATAGAGTTGAAGGGATTGTTGATGGTTTGATATGGGGTGTAGGACTAAATAAGAAGGCTAAGGACTCGCAGGTTTTTGGCCAGAGCACCTGGTCAGTTACTGGAGTTGTCATTTACTGAGATGGGGAAGACTACCAGCAACTTGTTTTTAGAAATGTTAAGTTAGGGAATTTTTTATAGGATACCTAAGTGTACACATTATTGAGTTTTTGCTCCAGTTTTGAAACATAGTTGTTTGTCATCACAGTTTTAAAACTGAATGGAAGCTTGATATTATTTCTCTTTAGTCTCAACAACTTTATAATGTGTTCTAGCTTAATTGCAATATTAATTGTAAAGCAAATTTCTGAATTTGAATTCCTCTTCATTACAAAATTAGAGCTATACTATTAGGTTAGTCTCGCTTATCTCTTTGATATATTTTCCTATTCTTAGGTGGCTTTGCAAAGGTCAAACTTGCCTGTCATATCCTCACTGGAGAAATGGTAGCAATAAAAATCATGGATAAAAATGCTCTAGGGGTAAGTTTAAAAGTATTTTAAAAATATTTATAGATCAATTTTGTGAATTAAAACTCCAATTTGCTCTGATATTCCAGTTATTTCTCTTTTATTATAATATTTAAAAAAATGGCAGTTATTGGCAGTAAATCTGTGGTTTTAAAAAGTAATCTGGAGAAGGAGTTGCTTTGTCTTTAATGTAGGGCTATGGCATATATTTGAAGTCTGTAGGATCCATTTTTGTCTAGTTTCGTAGTCATGTAGATATTTCTGGGTTTTAATATCACCCTTTATATTCTCATGATACACATGCTAAATGGTTGATCTCTTTTGTAGTATTTTGCTAGGTAGACAGAAATATCTTATGTACCAGAATTTTATTGAAAGTAACCTTAGAAGTTTTCCAGTGAAATCCTTTCCTTAATTAGACTCTCTTTCCTCTACATAAATGCTTCTAAGGTTGAACAGCTTACTATCTCCCAAAGTAGTCTATTCAATTTGTGGCTTTGACTATAATGTAAATAAAGATTTTTCTTTTTATTTCAAGGGAAGACCTGTCTCATTTGATGGTTCTTTTGGGACTTCGCTCCCTTCCCTGTGTTTGAAAATAACTCCATGTTGTCTTTTTTTCCTAATTCTTACTGTCATCCCTGATGCAGTTTTGTTCCTATGCTTTTCTTTTTCTGGTCTTTTTCTAATTTCCTACTGAGAATTGATTAGTCTCTCAGTAAGTATCTGACTGCTTCCTTTTTGAAGCTAAATTTAAAAAATTTTAAAAATCTTTTATTTCCTCTAACCAAAAATTTCTAAGTGTTAAAAAATTGTTTTTTTTTTAAATTGATTGAGCTGACATTGTTAGTAGTATATAATTGAGTGAAACAGCACAAACATTTTATAAATGTTGACAATTATCAAAAATAAAAAATAGGGCCTCCCCGGTGGCGCAGCGGTTGAGCGCCGGGTTGCGAAGCTGCCCGCAGCTTTTGCGGCCCTGGTTCGATCCCCGGCTGCTCCCCGGCCACCGGAGGAGGGTCCCACATGGCGCACAGACCTCTCCTGCCGCCCGCTGCTCCCCTCAGCAGTGTACTTCGGTCCTTCTGCCTGCTCTGCTCCCCGCTCTGGCTCTGGTGAATTCTCTCATCCTCCCGTGCTTCTGACTGTACCCAGTGCTTGTATAAATAAATAAAAATAAATCTTTAAAAAAAAATAAAAAAAAATAGCAAGTTACTGAAAATGCATTCTTAAATTAGACACATTGTACTTTTTTGGTTTTCCTCATTGCTGGGATGAGGCAGTTTAACCTCAGTTTTTGCTTTTTTATGTTTAAGGATGTAAATGCAGATTAACATACAGAAATAAGTCAAAGGAAATGTAAGGAGTTTTGTTATGTCACCCAATTCTTTCAGCTTCTTCCAAAATAGCTGCCAAAATCACTCAGTTACCTATAGCTGAAATTGTTTTTAGTAATCTATCAAATGACAATTGAGTATTATTTTTAATAGTTTATATATATATTTTGCATCATTGTTGTTTTTCAAAAAATATTTATTTATTTTTGCGTAGAAGAACTGGGGTACAGGCCAAAGATGTGGAGGGTGAGAGGATTCACCAGAGACAGAGTGGGGAGCAGAGCAGGCAGATCTACTGAAATACACTGCTGAGGGGAGCAGTGGGCAAGACAGAAGTCTGGTGATAGCTTAATAATGCTGAGGCTTTAACCCCTGAACCACCAAGGAGGCCCTCATTGTTCACTTTTTTACAGTGTTTGCTTTCTTCTCTCAAGTTTAGCCCCCATAAAATTCCTACCACCCATTCACCAGACACCATCAACATAGTCCCTTGTGCTCTTCCCTCCTGTTGTGATCCCTCTCCTTTGCCTTCCCCTGCAGAATGTCTCTGATTCATAGTTGCTTGTTAATTTTGGTTATTTATTTTTCTCAATTTTTTTTTTCCCTAATCCCTTATTTGGTTCCCCTATATTTCCTCCTATAAGTGAAACCGTCCGATATTTTTCTTTTTCCTTCTGGCTTATTTCACCGAGCATAATCCCTTCCAGCTCCATCCACATTGCTGCAATTGGTATGAGCTTATCTTTTTGATTGCTGAATAGTATTCCACTGTGTATATATACATCTTCTTGATCCAGTCATCTATTTTTGGGCATTTGAGTTGTTTCCATATCTTAGCTATTGTAAATAGTGCTGCAATAAATGTAGGAGTACAGATATCCTTTTGAATTAATGTTTTTGTGTTCTTTGGGTAGATTCCTAGGAGTGGAATTGTATCAGTTGACAATTTAGACTCACTTTCAATATTTATGTTTTCGGGACTCAATAATAAAAGGCATTATAGGGCCTCTCCAGTGGCGCAGCGGTTGAGCGCTGGATTGTGAAGCTGCCCGCAGCCTCTGTAGCGCTGGTTCGATCCCCGGCTGCTCCCTGGCCACCAGAGGAGGGTCCCACATGGCGCGTAGACCTCTCCTGCCGCCCGCTGCTCCCCTCAGCAGTGTTCTTCGGTCCTTCTGCCTGCTCTGCTCCCTGCTCTGGCTCTGGTGAATTCTCTTGCGCTTCTGACTATACCCAGTGCTTGTATGAGTAAATAAATAAATCTTTAAAAAAAAAAAAAAAAAGATTTATTTATTTATTTATTTATTTATTTATTTATACAAGCACTGGGTACAGTCAGAAGTGCGGGAGGGTGAGAGAATTCGCCAGAGCCAGAGTAGGGAGCAAAACAGGCAGAAGGACCGAAGTACACTGCTGAGGGGAGCAGCGGGCGGCAGGAGAGGTCTACGTGCCATTATACCTTTTTTTTGAGCATATAATCATTACTCACAACTTTGATTAATTCCCTTGAACAATTTATACTTCTGCTACAACTTTAAGATGACTTATTCACTTGACCACTTCTAACATTTATATAGCAAGCAAAATATGAACTGTTATCACAAAATGTATCACTACACTGATACTCAAAACTTATTCTAAAAGCATCAATATATTAGTTCATTAACTCAGTTCTAAGATTTTTAAAGTTTCTTTTTTTAATTCCTTTTTGTTAAGTGTAATTAATGTGTAATATATTTTAGGTGTATACCATAATGATTTAATATTTGTATACATTGTAAAAAGGTCACCATAATAAGTCTAGTTAACATCTATCATCTGGCGTAGTTACAAAATTTTTTCTTGTGATAACTTATTTATTTATTTATTTTTAAAGATTTATTTATTCATGCATACAAGAGCTGGGGTACAGGCCAGAGGTATGGGGGGTGAGAGGATTCACCAGAGACAGAGTGGGGAACAGAACACGTAGATTGACCGAAGTACACTGCTGAGGGGAGCAGCGGGCGAGGTAGGAGAGGTCCACTGCACCATGTGGGTTGCTCCCTGGCTGGCTGGGGGGGATCGAACTCATGCTGCAGAGGCTGCATGTGAACAGCTTCATAGGTTGCGTCTTAACCCCTTGCACCACCAGGGAGGCCCCAACTTGTGATAACTTTTAACATTTACTCTTTTAAACAGCCTTCAAATAGCAACACAGTGTTACTAACTATAGTTAATATTATATTTTAATTGTATAATATTTATTATGTTTATTTTAGCTACTACCTAGGATTTTAATAATATTTTGATTATTTCCAGGGTTGTATTCCACTTACCCCCAAAAGGAAGTAAGCAAGATTATCATATCAAAATAGTCAAAGTTACAGTTGATTCTAGGTCAGGATCTGACATGTGGTTGCATGGTCTTGTATACTTGGATCTTAAATCACTGATCATTAGATTGAATCCTTTTTTATTTTTAAATTTTTTTTAAAGATTTATTTATACAAGAACCGGGCTACAGGCCAGATGTGTGGGAGGGTGAGAGGATTCACCAGAGACAGAGTGGGGAGCAGAACAGGCAGACTGACCAAAACACACTGCTGAGGGGATCAGTGGGCAGGGATCGAACCGGCACCACAGAGGATGCGGACAGCTTCACACCGCCCAACTGCCTGCGCCACCAGGGAGGCCCTGAATCCTTTTTTATTAAGAAAGTTTTATCTGTTACTTTGTAGCTCTCAAGATTTCTACCTTTAATATGGACTTAACATTATTTCAACTTGGCTTAGCCTCCTTCCCAAATAACTTTTATTTTGAAAAGCTGCAAGCTCCTAGAAAAGTTGGAAGAATGAGTCAGTGAATACCTGCATACATTTCACTTACATTTTCCAGTTTTTTGCTCAGCGTGCTGCCTAAGAGGCATTGCTAAGACCCCAAGTTGTAGCCCAGGCATGCACACTGAGTATATTTCTGTCATTTTCCTTGTTTGGAATGCTGATCTTCTAAAGGAGTCTGAGATTGTTTTAATATTTTTTGGATGTTATACTGTTGACCCACTTTGAACTTGTCTTTCATGAAATCCTCAAGGCCTTACTTTAAATGTACATACAAATAAGTTTTATTGTGATATTTTTCTGTAGAACAATTTGTTTTGAGATTGTTGATAGCTTCTGCTACTAAGTATTAAAGCTGTTGATATTGATGCTTGGAACATTTCCCAAATAGGCTTACTGCTCATTCAGTGTCATGTTTGATCACAGAGTGATTTGCCCAGGATCAAAACGGAGATTGATGCCTTAAAGAACCTGAGACATCAGCATATATGTCAACTCTACCACGTGCTTGAGACAGCCAACAAAATATTCCTGGTTCTTGAGGTTAGTAGCATGTTCTAGAGACCAAAAGTATTTGGTCACTGTCTTAGTCCGCTTGGACAGCTATAACAATACCACAGACTGGGTAACTTACGAACAACAGAATTTTTTCTCACAGCTCTGGATTTGGGGAAATCCAACATGAAGGTACCAGCATGGTTGTATGAGGGTCCTCTCCCTATTTCTCATGGAAGGGACAAGAGATTTCTCTGGAGCCTTTTTTATTAGAACACTCATTCCATTCATTGGTCCTACTTCCTAATATCATTTTTGGGGTTAGGATTTCAATTTGAATTTTGAGTGCACACAAACATTCAGACCATAGCAGTCACTTTATCAATAGATAAAAGAAAAGTACATTTGACCTGAGAGATTAGAATTAATGTTAAATGGCTCACCTGTTTGTCTGTAACAGCAAAAACATGTAATATGCAGTGTTGCTGTAGGAATGATCTTGAATGTGCATTGTTTTTGTTGTGAGAATATATCTGTAGGAACAATTCCTAAATGTGGAACTCAGTATATATATACATTTATAATTTTAACTGATATTGGTAAAGTGAAGTGAAATCTTAACTGGAAACTCTGATTTACGAAGTGGAGCTGCTTTGGAAGAGGAGGGTTCCATGGAAAGCCCAAGGTTTGTGCTCTAGTACCCATTCTCCTGCAGCCTCTGATCAGTACAATGGAGCTCTGGTACAGATTGAAAGTCCTTCGTCTTCTGGATGGAGAAGTAATAATTGCTGCTGGGCTTGTTTTGTTTCCCACCATACACCATTTTGTTTCCCACCATTCAATGTGAGCTCATTAAGATAAGAAAGGGTTTTAATACATTATTCTAAAAATACAGAGCCCTTAAAAATTACAGTGGTAGTTGATTCTACTTCTGTTTGCTATTAATAAAACTGCTTGAGACTAGTTGTTCTTTTTCAGAGAATAATTGTTGCCTTTTTGATCCTGAGAGTATATTGTTGAGCATGCCTCACTCAGATCCCTGATCTATAAGTTGAATTAATACTTTCTTTGAGTTAAATGCAGTTTTATATTTTAACTGGCTCTGAAGCAACTTTTTTAAAGTAGTAATATCTATATAACTCTTGCTGCTAAAGTACTGCCCTGGCGGGGAGCTGTTTGACTACATAATCTCCCAGGACCGCTTGTCAGAGGAGGAGACCCGGGTCGTCTTCCGTCAGATAGTATCCGCCGTTGCTTATGTGCACAGCCAGGGCTATGCTCACCGGGACCTCAAACCGGTAAGTGACTGCATCTTCGTTACATGCTCGCTTGAGAGTTCAACATCATTGCTTGTTATTTCCAGCTTTCCAGAAATTCTTTCTGTTTAGAATCTTTCCTGGCTTTGCTTCTTTCTTTCTTTTTTTTTTTTTTTTGGTACCATTAGGAATGTGTCCTTTTCCCCCCTTCTTTTGACTTCTGATAGGCTTTTTGAGATAACTTCATGTTAGCATTCTGTTTATTGGTCAGAATGTGTGTGACATTATAAATGTCTGTAATCATCTGTGGAATATAAGCCTTAGGATTTTATCTCTAGGAAAGAAGAGTATAGGATGTTTTCTTTGAGAGTGTTATCATTGTGCATTTTCCATTTAGTTCTCTTTTCCTAATTCCACTTTCCCTGAATTTTAATTGCATTATGCCTCAGAAAGGAACTATTGAATGGAACAGAGTGTTACTTTATGAGGACAAAATGAAAATGGGAATACTCTTAAGTCTGCTCTGACTAATATGGATGATGGTGAATGTAGATTTTAATGTTACTTGGTACCAGGGTCAGGGACTTAGAATTGGTCTGACAAGACATGGCAGTGTTGCTGTCCCTTTCTCTCTGTTTATAGCCAGCTCTTTGATCTGAGCTCACTCTTGGTTTTAACTTGCCTTTGGCATAAATTGTGTTGGCTTGCAGTTGAGCCTCAGAGCACCAAGGAGAAAATGGTTTATGCGAATATATCTTGAGGGGAAGTGGTATGGAAATCAACAACCCTCCTCTCTCCGATTCTAGACTTCTTGCTACTTCATTCCTTTAAAATGCTTTTCAATCTATACCTCTGCTCAGGCCTTTAAAAATAAACAATCTTGCACTGTTTTTAGAAATGGCTAGAAGTGGGATGTGATTCAAAGAAGTTAATATATAGTTATGAAACTCTCTATTTTTCCAGGAAAACTTGTTGTTTGATGAATATCATAAAGTAAAACTGATTGACTTTGGTCTCTGTGGGAAACCCAAGGTAAGTGTAGAAATAAAATTCCATTTATTTCCTTCATAAGTGTACCTTCTAATGTGTTACCTTACTCTAACTTCCACTTAATCTCTAATGATCTTGGTGCATCCATTGAGAAGAATGTTACATTTCATCCCTGTCTAAGTTCTCTAAATAATTCTAATTTATAGCAATATTGTGAACCACTGCCATGGGTCAGGGTGGGTCTGGTTGAAGACTCCATGGGTCTGCCTCTGTGGCACTGAGCGACTGAGTTCATGGCAGCACGAATGCTGGGTTGACCACGTGTTTGCAGCTTGTGTGCATTGCCATTAGACGGTGTCTTTGTTTATTTAGGTGTGAGTTTTGAGGATTTAGTGCAAATCCCTTATTTCGTTTTCTTTATCCAAATCTTCTTGTTATCTAAATAGTTATATATTTAACAGTTACAGTTTGAGAGAAGACCCCTTTTTTCATGGAAGGAAAAAGCCCACATGCACTTTAAATTTTATAATGTTATATGTTTTTTAATATGCACTCCATAGCCAAGTACTCTTGTTCTCCCACATACCGTTTCTTTGAGATGACTTTGAACTTTCCAGCTCTGCAGAGTTCCTGTGTGGCTGCCTGTTGGAGATTTCCTCCTGAGTTCACTAATGAGGGTACTTACAGTCTTTAAAATGAGCTGTCTGCACTCATTAAGAATGCTGAAATTTTTCCTGGTCCCTTATTTAGGTTTTCTTAATTCCTGCTATGTGTGAGACCACCCGGTATTTTCCTTTTTCTTTCTGGCTTATTTCACTGAGCATGAGCCCTTCCAGCTCCATTCATGTTGCTGCAAATTACATGAGTTTATCTTTTTTGATAACTGAATAATATTCCATTGTGTATATATACCACATCTTCTTGATCCAGTCATCTATTTTGGGACTTTTGGGTTGTTTCCATTGCTTACCTATTGTAAATAGTGCCACTGTAAACATTGGGGTGCAGATGCCTTTTTGAATTAATGTTTCTGTGTCCTTTGGGTAAATACCTAGGAGTGGAATTGCTGGATCATATGGAAGCTCCATCTTTAGCAGAATGAGGAATCTCCACCCAGCTCTCCATAGTGGTTGGACCAGTTTGCACTGCCACCATAGTACTACTTACAATAAAGTAAAAATCAAAATCAACAAGCAGCTATAAACCAGAGACACACTATGGAGATGGAGGGGGAAGAGGGAGTAGAATCAAAACAAGGGGGGTGGGCATTGTATGGGGACTATAACCAAGATGAAAATGCATACATTGTGCAAAAATGAAAAATGATGTAAAAAATATATTGAAAAAATAAAAAATAAATAAAAGGTACACTGATATATTGGGGTGTGTAGCGGGGAAGAAACCTGAAATTGCAGCGTTGTCTCTGTCCTTCATAGTCCTATGATTATTTCCTGCACCAGGTTTAGAAAGAACTAGTTGGAGAGGGAAGCAGATTTTACCCCCTTTAGCTGAATATCTGATTGTTTCTGATTTTCCTTTTCCCCTCTTGCTTCTTCAGAAATTGTCATTGGAGCCTTTTGTTTGGGAAGGCTTTTTTTTTTTTTTTTTGATAGGCAGACATATAAAGATAAGACATACTTTGAACACATAAACCAGTATACATCATGTTCTCCACAGGAGGCAGTGAAGAATATTTGTGACAAACTCCATTAGCTTTTATTTATGGCTAATGGAGTTGATCCACACAGACACTTCTGAAGAAGCAGGGCATAGTTAAGAGAGAATTGCGTCAGCTTTTTGCTGAGGATCTCACTTCTGGGCAAGTTATAGTTGTAAATGAAATCTTACAATTTCACAATTCCTGCCTGCTGTAGAACTCTCTGTAAGTATTGGACAAGAGTACAATTTTCATTATCGATGTTTTTATGGGAGGGCAGAGAAGGATTAGCAAATTTGTATTTTAATAGATCTGGAAGCTAAGTCATGTCTATCTAGAAAACTGTCTCCCCAGCCTTGTTTTATGTAATTACTGCTTCCTTTCCTCTAAGGGGATATTCATAAAGATTTGATATTGGAGACAGTTCAGTAAAAAAATAAATTGCTTTTCCTTGGATACTTGGGTGTGAGAAGACATGGTGCTTCAATGTATGCTGAGTATTATGCTGAGCGATGTCTAGGCAAGTGTGAACCTGACTTGACTGAGCTAAGGGGAGAAGAAGTTTGTTTGTGTCAGGTTGTACTGGTATTGGAAGTCCATGAACGAGGAAACCATACGTGCATGTTGTAGAGTATTGAGTTGGCTGCAGAAGTCTCATACTTGGGCTAATTCTTCATCTGCTTTCTCTTTGCTTGCGCTGAAATAAGGTTTATCAAAGCTTAATTCTCTTGAGGACTATAATAGTGTTCCATTTTTATCTTTTGGCAGGGTAACAAGGATTACCATCTACAGACATGCTGTGGAAGTCTGGCTTATGCAGCACCTGAATTAATACAAGGCAAATCATATCTTGGATCAGAGGTAATTTATTCATTGATTAACTCAATATGTAATTAATGTACATTTATTGGTGACCTGTGAGTCAGACACTGTGCATTGGGGATATAATGATGAGGTCCAGGCCCTTGGCAAGGGGAGACTCCCTGGTGACAATGTGAATTACAGATTTATCTGTATTTTTTTACTGTTTACCGAATGATCGATCATCCTTGCACAAACTGAGGAATGAATTCCATGATCCTGTTCTGAAAATATGGACATGAGGCAAACACTTGTTCATGTTTAAAGGAGTTCACCTGCACGCTTAACAAGTCCTGTTTGTTTCCCTATTTTTTTGCTCATAATAAAGTCAAGTGAACAAGTGATTATGAAGAGGGATTGTCCGGGGCACCTGTTTTTTAACTGCTGTTTCTCTGCAGTTTCATTCATGTTGCTTGGTGATTATATCAGTTGGTTTTAATTGGGGCAGAAAGGGACGCTCTTCCACTGCTTAAAAACAAGACACACTTTTGTATTAAAATTGCTTGCAGTAACAAAAAAAAAAATGATGAGGTAAGAAATAATCTTGCTAATCAAGGTCTTTGCAGAGGGTGAGATATATAAACTAATAAATGCAATGAGTAGCCTGCAATAAATATAATAATGCACAGAGCACTTTTGAAGCAGGATTATATTTGTGTCCTTATTGTGGTTGTCTTTATGTTTAACAATGTTATAATTTCCATTACTTAATCCAGCTGTGTAGAGCACAAGGCCAGGGTTGCAAGCCCAATTTTCAGAGATGCTGGTTAGCATAGGGAGAACCTGTACTCAGTCCATAGCTAACTTTCTGAGGCTAATAGTCCTGTATAGGAGGCCCAGGCTTACAGGCCTGGACATTGCTTTACCATTTGCTACCTCAAGTTTGTCAGCCCCTCGCATTCTCTAGAGTACAGTGTCTTCAGGACACCATACCAAGGAATCCCTTAGGGTACTTGTTAAAAAATGTCAAGCTCAGAACTGTAAATAGATATTTTTGGCCTTGCTTTCTAAGGTTGGATTTTAAGAATCTTGTTTTAAGAAAATATTTTAGGTGATTCTATTGCTTATGTTTCAGATTATGCTTTAAGGAATTTTCCTTGGTAAATATCTGTAATTCCTTCAGTAATTTGTCACATGAAATGATTTCAAACCCCTTAGCAGTTGGTAGCTTGTTGCCTTTGCTTGGATATAGGATTTTTGTTCATTAAATTATTCTCATCCACTCAAAACAAAGTGATGGTGCTTTGATAAGTTACTGAAGAATACTTTTTTTGCTTTTTTCCCTCTAGTAGATTTTGGTAGATTTCTGTGGGCATTTCTTCATATTTTAGTTTAGCTCAAGACAAAAATCTGTTGACTTCTTATGGGGTTGATGAACTATGCTAGCTCACTTTTTCCTGTGCAACCTCTGCTTTGAATTTAACACCCTCCTCAGGAGTGCCAGGCCATGATAGCTCAATTTATAGATTAGTATTGACATCTCTGATGCATAAATGTTAATTTCTGACTTCCTGCAAAGAAACATCAGGTGTCTGCTTGAAAGTAAATTCTTTACTTGGACATCATAATGGAGTCCTAATAATTGGGCTGATTTGGTAGACTGGACTAGAAGTTAGATTTGGTTTACTGTACCTAGATGTAAGCAGGTAAGACCTAGATGTGTGATGCTGCTCAAGTTAGTTTAGCTGTTTCTTCCCTCCCTGCCTCTCTCCTCAATTTTTTATAAAAAAGATGCTGCCCTACCTACCTCTCAAAATTTTCCTTAGATTCAAATGTGAGTGGGAGCTGTGACTTCTCCTCAGCCAATAGTGGCATCATTATTGATTAAGATCAACTACTGCTTACACAAGTAGTTAGTGCTTAGGACTCCTGGGGCACATGGATATCTTATATAAAGGTTAAACCTACTGGGATTTTGAGATTCGCAGGGCTATTTGTGCTGGCAGGCTAATTTCTAGCCTCTGTGTTTGAGAAGTCAATTGCTGGGCTTATTAAGGTTTCTTTACATAGACGACTTTACAGTGCAGCTTAGTCACATTTGCAGATTATCAGTAGTAAATTTTAAGACTTGTTTTGACAATCTCATGCATAATCCTCAGTAGCACCGTAGAATTGTCTTTCAGAATCAGAGACCTGGCTTCATCTCCTTCTGTATCATGCTCAATCCAACCCAGCCAAATGGAAATTGTTAAGCCTAAGAGGAGGATGCACTGGACTGGCAATTAGAAGATTTACTATTGGCTGCTTGACTTTGGACAAGCTTTCATTTTTGAGCTGTTCCCAGTCTGTAGAATGACCAGATTAAATTTAATGATCTCTGAGGTTTTTGCCAGCTCTATTAAGATTTTGTGATTATATTAAGTGTCTTGCCTTTCTGATATAGGTATGTTCTAAAATTTTTTTGGATGCTTCTTTCCCCCTTCTCCTTCTTAGGCAGATGTTTGGAGCATGGGCATACTGTTATATGTACTTATGTGTGGCTTTCTACCATTTGATGATGATAATGTCATGACTTTATACAAGAAGATTATGGTGAGTATTAGAAGTCATAGAATATTATTGCAGAATTATTTATACTGCATATTGTGTCTATTTATAAAAGTACAAAAGCAGGTTAAAGTCATTATTGATGGTAGATGTCAGGAGAGTGGGTTCTCTTTGGGGGTGGGTTGTGACTAAAAGAGGGACATGTAGGCTTCTGTTTTGCTGATTGATCCGGGTGCTGGTTATACTGTGTATTCACATTTTGAAAACTCATCAAGGTGTAACCTTCTGAGTTGTCTAGTTTTCTATGTGTACAGTAAGTCCTAAGTGCCATCAGCAGGTGCTTATAATACTCTTTACTGTGATTCTTCTTACACCTTAAAGTCAAATCTCTAAATTTTAAGTCAGTTTGTTTTATTTTACCATAAGTCAATGGGAAAATGTGATTTAACCCAGCAACTCAATAAGTTATTTCATAATACAATAAAAAACTCCTACCAGGAAAATAATCTTATATGTTTACTTTCCCTTTTGTTAAACTTTTTATTGAAGAAGTATAATATATAAGTTCCTCAGATAACATTTCATCTAGTGTCATGGACCTTGAATAAAATGACATTATTCCAGACCTGCTTAAAGTTGTTCTTTCTAAGAATTTATCAATGACTCTGGGTGGGGACTGGAACTAGACAGTGGTGATCTGGTTTTATATTTTAATAAAAAACTAGTTACCCTCACATAGGTAACTAGCTATTTAATAAGAAAATAAATATTAAGTAATTTGGTTGGCTGAGCGTTAATTATTCAATAATCCATCATTTCCTTCTGGCTTGAAATGACAATTTTGGTAATATGCAGAATTACATATTTAGACACTTTTTGAATCCTTTATTTTATTGCATTTTTTTGTTCTTATACATAAATGTTTTAATTTCTGTATGTATGATAGCATTTATTCAGTGTCTGATAGAATTAACCTCTTTTTATTACTGTTTCCTCTGGAATTTTCTGGGCTATTCTGCTATGATTGCTTTCCCCTGGTATACTTTTAAAGGATGTATGCTTTCTCCTCTCAGGTGTAGTCCCTGTAAAATTCCACCATTAATTCACCGTGCACCATTGCCTTATACATAAATGTCCCTTGTTTTGATCCTTCTCTTTCCCCCATAGAATGTCTCTGATTTATAGTTGCCTATTATTTTTTTTGTTGTTGTTGGTATTTTTTCCCCTGATCCCTTATTTGCTTCCCCTATATTCCTCGTGTAAGTGAAACCATCCAATATTTTTCTTTTTCCTCTGGCTCATTTCACTATAATCACTTATAGCTCCATCCGTATTGCTGCAAATAGCATGAGTTTATCTTTTTTGATTGCTGAGTAATATTCCATTATGTATACAACATCTTCTTGATCCAGTCATCTATTTTTGGGCATTTGGGTTGTTTCCATATCTTCCTATTATAAATAGTGCTGTAATAAACATAGGGATGCAGGTATCCTTTTCAATTAATGTTTTTGTGTACTTTGGGTAGATTCCTAGGAGAGGAATTGCTGGGTGATATGGGAGCTCCATTTTTAGTAGTTTGAGGAACTTCCACACAGCTTTCTGTAGTGGTTGGACCAGTTTGCACTCCTACTAGCAGTGTAGGAGAGTTCCTTTTTCTCCACATCCTCGCCAACATTTGTTGTTGCTAGTTTTTTTAATATTTGCCATTCTCACTGGTATAAGGTGGTATCTCATTGTGGCTTTGATTTGCATTTCCCTGATTATAAGGGATGTTGAACATTTTTTCATATACTTGTTGGCCATTTGCATTTCCTCTTTGGAGAAGTTTCTTTTTAGCTCTTCTGCCCATATTTTGACTAGATTTTTACTTTGTTTTTGTTGAGTCATGTGAGTTATTTGTAGATCTTTGTGAGCAGTCCCTTATCAGTTGTATGGAATGTTCCCTGGTGTACTTTTTCAATGGAATGTTTAGAAAGCTTTACTGCTTTACCATTTTTAAATTCCTTAATTCTTTGTGTGTTTTGTGCTTTTTTTGTTACTGCAAGTTCACACTCATACAGCAGACATTAAATTAATGCTTTTTTAAAATTTATTTTTATACAAGAACTGGGGTACAGTGATGGTGAGAGGATTCACCAGAGACAGAGTGGGGAGCAGAACAGGCAGACGGACTGAAGACACTGCTGAGGGGAGCAGCAGGCAAGGCAGGAGAGGTCTGCCGTGCCGTGTGGGCATCTTCTTGACTGGCCGGGAATTAAACCCATGCTGCAGAGGCTGTGGACAGCTTCACAGCACTGCGCTCAACGCTTTGCGCCACTGGGGAGCCCCTTAAATTAAGGCTTTTAATGATTAATTATGGTATTGTTTTACCATTGCAAGGTAAATGTATCAATACACAAACTTCAGCATTCTCCATTTTTAAAAAATTTACTTATTAATTTTAAAAAAGTGCATTGGGTGCATGAGTGCATTGGGATCCTGGATTAATCCTTAGGAATTACCTTAAAATAATGTAAAAGTGTTACATATAGAAGATGCTAGATTCAACTTTTGATATCTTTGGTAGATCACATATTTTTACACTGGAATGAATATGCTATAAAGTGTCTAGTTCTTGTTCAGTAGAGATTTAGCCTTCCTAATTAATATTATTTACTAACACTGTATATTCTTTGTTTCTTCTACTCTGAATTTCATTTTTTAGTTTTTCATGTATTTGCAAGTTGAAAATTGATTCAAATTAGGACTTTTATGCATTATTGTGGAATTTAATTTCACACATTATAGATTTTGAAATTTATTGTAATCTTGGCTCAGAACTATTGTTCCGAGTCGCAGTGTAATACAGTCTGCTGGTTGAATCTAATTAAGGTGTCGTATCACTTGCATGCAGTATGTATCTTTGCCTAGAATGTTCTAAAATTCCTCACTTGGGAATAACACTTCCCTCAGTTCTTCTTGATTTGATTGAAAAACCTAGCAATATTTGACACACTGTATGTAACTCTTGTTTAAGAGGCTGACTTCGTTTATCTTTTGCATTTGTTGACTTTTAAACAAAATGCTCAGCTGCAGTCTCCAGCATGATTACTAATAGGTTGAGCATTAGTCTTATTAATGTCACCTGTATTCATTTGCCATCTCTGCATTCAAAGACAAGCATGACTGTACTCCAGTTCTGAGTACACAAATATTAGGGAAGTATAAATAAATTGATAAATGAAAGTTAAGTAGCTTGAAAGTAAAAATTCCTTTCTAACAAGTATGATTTATAATTTTAAAGAAAATAAACAAATTATTTCCTTAAAAGATTATATTTTACACATGGAATTGGCTATAGTACTGTGATTCTGTGTTGGAGAGATCATCTGCCTATCTTATTTCACCATGTGAAAAATAAACAATTTCAAGTCTACTATAATTCGCAGGGCTAGCTTGCTTAACCCACATACCTTTTTTCCACTCTCACTTGCTTTCTCCCTTCTGTTATCAATTTCTTGCTCTCATTTGCAATGTAATTATCACTTAACAAACAAGCATGGGCCAAAGCCTGAGCAGAAACCAGGATTAAGGAGCATAGGCCTGTTTAATACAGGGCATTTTGTGAAGATGCTCTTCGCCAGCAGAATTATCCCTCTCAGGTCTTTTCTGTTTGGCCCCCTGCAGGGAAAGGAAAAATGTCAGGCTTTTTTGCCCTCCCGCCATCAGGATAGATGATGGATCCTTGTGGTCCTGAATGCATGCCTGATGGCGGGCACCTGGAATAGGGTGTGGGCATAGGTAGATGGGATTCACCTGGGCTGAGACTGGGCTTTTAAGGGCAGCGTCACGGGGAGGCCAGCAGAAAGCTGAGGAGAAGCCGAAAGAAGCAGCCGAAAGAGAAACCGAGAGAGAAGCAAAGAAGCAGAAGCAGAGATCACCAGAGAGCCCAGAGTGAAGACCTGCTGGGGGCTGGGAGGCCTGCAATAAAAGCCTGCAAAAAACCACCGAGGACTCTGACTCCTCCTTTACCTGGTCTGCATGGGATCAGAAAACCTGCTCAGTGTCCATTCCTGCCTTTACAATTGGTGTAAGTCGGCAAGATGATCCATGCAGACGGGTAAGGAGCCCTCCGAAGACCTGGAGGGACTGGTGGACAAGGTCCAGGAGCTACAGAATAAGATCACGCCTGGAGGAGGAGACGCCCAAGAGGACCAGCCAACGACCCCTGAGGCAGCAGAATCGCCGACGAAGAGAGAGGCCAACGGACTTGGCCTAATGGAATTGGACTGATGGACTCGGACTGATGAACTTGGACTGACAATCCCGCCAGAAGGTGGAGGACCTTGGCAGGTTATGTTTTTTTTTTTTTTTTTTTTGAGAATCTGGGGGTGGCCAGTGGGCCTTGATGGCCAAAAGCAGCCTGCATATGCCCAGCAGCCAGGCAGAGGAGAAAAGCCAACTGAGAAGGCAAAAGCTGGTGCTGATGCTAAGTTTGGGAAGCCTTGAGTATGCTGAAGACCTGTGAGTCTTGTAAAATCACCTGTGGGTGATGCCCTGCTTGTTGTAGAGTGAGGGTAAGGAGCTGAAGAACCCGTCCTTGGGGGACGGGTGGGAAACGTGGCTTGGGGTGGAGCCCAAGCCGAATGTAGAGTTTGGATCCCCGACCCATGTGCTTGTGCAGTGGGTTGGCCTGAGTGCAGGGGTCTGCGAGTCGCATTGGTGGCTATGAAAGCTGAATGTTGGAGCGACAGCAAACAGAAACCCTGAGGGTTGGCGATTACCCCCAACAAAACAGAATCGCCAATCCCAGAGTGAGTGCATCCTGGGGGTGGATGCGGTGTGTGGCTTGTAGCCGAGACTACAGCCAGAGAAGGCCAGGAAGCCTGACGGCGCCTGGCGTGTTACAGTAGATGCCGTGAGTGGTTCCCCTCCCTCGTATGAGCAGTGCCTTCGGCAGCAGATGTGGTGGCTCATCTGCTGGTACCAATAATTGTCTTTTGCCACTAGGTTGGGGCCCTGCCTGGACTTATTTGTGTTCTGTTGTATTTTGTTGTTATATTGCGATGTATTTGCTTTTGTGGGCTATGGCTGCATTGTTTATGTTTGCTAAGAAACAAAATTGTATATATGTAGATTGTATGGCAGAAAACCCTGAGGGGGTGGACTGTAAGGTAAGGAAAAATGTCAGGCTTTTCTGCCCTCTCACCATCAGGATAGATGATGGATCCTTGCGGTCCTGAATGTATGCCTGATGGCGGGCACCTGGAATAGGGTGTGGGCATAGGTAGATGGGATTCACCCGGGCTAAGACTGTGCTTTTAAGGGCGGCGTCACAGGGACGCCAGAAGAAAGCCGAGGAGAAGCTGGAGAGAAGCAAAGAAGCAGAAGCAGAGATCACCGGAGAGCCTCCCGGCCCCCCAGCATCCCTGCCTGCCGTATACTGGGTAAATCCCAATAAAAGCCTGCAAAAAACCACCGAGGACTCTGATTCCTCCTTTACCCAGTCTGCATGGGATCAGAAAACCTGCACTGTGGTCATTCCTGCCCCCTACAGCCCCCCACTTTTTTTCTTAAAGATCTATTTATGCATACAAGTGCTGGGGTACAAGCCAGAGGTGTGGGGGGTGATAGGATTCACCAGAGACAGAGTGGGGAGCAGAACAGGCCGACTGACTAAAATACACTGCTGAGGGGAGTAGCAGGCAAGTGAGGAGAGGTCTGCTGCGCCATGTGGGTAGATCCCAGGCAGGGGATCGAATTCGTGCTCCAGAGGCTGCTGACAGCTTCATAGATTGCGTCTTAACCCTTGCACGACCAGGGAAGCCCTGTTTGGCCCTTTGACATATACTTTAATAAGGAGCCTGTCTTCCTGTCTGCTGCTAGGCTTCCTTAACTCTTCCAGCACAGTGCCACAGAAAAAGAACTGTATCTCTCTTCTAGCCTTATCTGTACCCTGTTTTACTCTATAATGGTGTTTCTCAACTTCAGCACTATTGACATTTTGGACAAGATAATACTTTGTTGTGGGGGTGCTATCACGTGACTTGTAATGTTTAACAGCTTTCTTGGCCTTTACCCTGGTCAAGGCAATAAAAAATGTGTCTGGTTTCTAAAATGATGGATCTTGAAAGTTTTCATCTCAAGAAAAACAGTGTTTGCAACTATATTTGGTAATGGGCATTGATTAAACTTACTGTGGTAATTATTTTGCTATTTACACATATATCAAATCATTATGTTGTACACCTTATAACAATGTCTCCAGTGTTTGCTTCGGCAGCACATATACTAAAATTAGAATGATACAGAGAAGATTAGCAAGGATGACATGCAAATTCATGAAGGATTCCATATTGAAAAAAAAAAATCTCAAGACACTGTCAGATGTTCCTGGCGGGGGGGTGGGGGGGAAGCAGATCATCCCAGGGTGACAACCAATGCCTGATAATATTGAACAAGCTCTTGATTTTCCCGGCCAAGACATAGTTTCCTCATCTGTATTGTTGTAATGTGGTTAATAATCCCTGTCTACTGCACAGGATGAAATATAGGTATAAGTGCTTTGTGTATTTTAAAGTACTGTGTACAAATAAGAGGTGGGGTTATTTAAGTGAGCAGCAGAAGTTGGCTCTGTACTCTGAGTATTTCACTGCAGAGTAGAAAGCAAAGAATGTCAAGTCACAGTGATGGTCACAGACCCTGTGACTTATGGATGGCCCTCTTCAGACCTGTTAAATCCAAATGGGGAAGGTGGGAAGTGCATTTCAGATGTGAGCAGGACTTGATGTATTTCTTACTGGGCAAGCCTGAGATCCCAAGGCAGGTGCAATGAGGCACAGCTCCTTTGGGAGGCACGTGGCATTCCTCCGAATGACTTTAGCTTTTCTTACTATGCTATGTATTTAGCACTTGGGCATGCCTGGATTTTGGCCAACAAGCACATCTTTGGTCCACTTCTCCCTCTTCTATTTAGTTCAGATTGAACACGTATCTGTTGTCTCTTATGTGCATGTACTGTGGTGAGTACTTTCAAATACATTTTCTTTTATTCCTTTTATAATCTCATAAGTGGCTTGTGCAGAGAGAACAACAGTAGCTGAAGTAATAGTAGTAATAGAGGCAGCAGTAGTAGAAACATGGAGTTTTTAATGTGCGCCTGGCATTGTGCTGAGTGCTTTATGTGTATTAATCCCTTCAATCCTAGCAACATTTATGGAATGGGTGTTATTACTATACTTTTTATGATTGAGGAAAGTGAGTTGCAGTAAGACTAAATAACCCATTCACTCAGCTAGTAAGTGGTAGATCCTGAATTTGAATCTAAGCAATTTGTTTCTAGAAGCCTAATCTCTTAGGAAACAGGGTCAAAGAGATTAAATAATTTGCACAAGTTCATGGAGCTAGCAAAAGGCAGAACTGGGACTAAAACCTAATATATGACTCCTATTCATTGCTGTTTCCAAACACATTTCTCAATCACTTATTTTCTCTGCCCCTTTCTAGATAGGATTGCTTATATCATAAAGACATCACCAGGAATCTGTTAACATATTCTTCATGAATTCAAGATGTGATGATAAAAGGAGTGATAGAAAGTGGCAGAAAGGAGCATGAAATCACTCAGGTGGTGCTCTTCTTACTCAGAACTTTCGTTTGAATATTTATTTTCAAATCTGGTTTCTATAAAATACAGCTACTTTTAGTTGAGTATGTTTGTTTTGGATGGTAGTTTCTGAATTTAAAGGCTTAATATTTCTTTTATTATGATAGGTATGATTATCTGTGTGTTGGGGCAGACCAGAAAGGATTAGTACCTGGAACCAGACTTTCCCATGGGGTAGGCAAGCAGTGGTGAGAGAGAGGTAACTTAGGGAAATTAAACCCTTGTAGATGGTATATAAGTTTCTTAGAGTTTTTGCTACAAAAGATGGTGCCTCAAAACAGCCAAAATTTATTCTTAGGAAGCTAGAATTCCAAAATCAATGTATTGGCAGGGCCACGCTCTCTCTGAAGGCTCTAGGGGAGAATCCTTCTTTGCTCATTCAGTCAATAGTTTCTGTGTTCGGCTTTTTTTTTTTTCTTCTTCTTCTTTAGCTTCTGGTGTTTACTGGCAACCTATGACATTCCTTGGATGGTAGATGTATTACTCTCTTCTTTGCTTCTGTCTGCAAATGACTTTCTCCATTATGTGTTTATATCTCTGTGTCTAAATTTTCCTCTTCTGGTATGAGTACTAGTCATATTGAATTTAGGCCCACCCTAACCCAATATGACCTCATCTTAACTTGACTACATCTGAAAAACACCCCTTCACATGTTCCAGGCAGCCGTGAAATGGGAGGTAGGTTCTTTTCAATACAGTGCTCTCTTTTCAACACAGAGAGCAAGCAGCAAATGACTGCAGACATTCAGCGGGCAGGGATGTCCGCTGGAGACATGTTCTGATCAGTGAGCGAAACATAACAGAGGACACCCTGAAGCAGATTGTGAGTGCAGATGCAGGTGGGTGAGACCTTTGATCAGTGTAAGCAGTTTGCAGGGTCCTTACCCAGACTGGCATCTACTTCCTAGGGGACCCTGGCAAGAGCAAACTGAAATGTTTGAAAGATCAGGTAAATCCTCAGTTTGCCTAGCTGAGTACAAGTGAGGTTCCCAGGATTTGAATCACAAGGGGCCTTGGTCTCAGGAATCAGAAAAAGCTTAAATATGAGGTTGTGGCCAACTAGGTCAGGACCAGTCCTCCAGTGACTGTGACTTATTGCCAAGGCCTAGAGAGTTGGCTGAAGCAGGTGGAAATCCTTCTGGGGATAGGCCTAGAGCCCAGGTAACCCTATTCTTCAGCTTGGGGTTCAGTTAACTGGATGAAAGACAGTAAGGAGAAGGGAACTAGGGGCTTCATCACTATTTTGAAGTGGATTTTGTCAGTTCCTGATATTGGCAAGTGTTTAGGTGCTTGACAAGGTGTAGATAAGAGTGGACTCTGGGTAATATCGAGTACTCTAGTTAAAAAAGAATGAAAAATTTAATAAAATTAGATGTCATTTGTAAAAGGAAAGGTCTTGCCTTTCTAGAAAAAGACTTTAGGTCAGACTGATCTTCTCAGAGACTAAGTCAGTGATTGAGTGATTTTAACATCTCAACACCTTTTCTTTTAAAATCCATTGTTGATAACACTTCTTCATTACTTTGGTAGCATAAGCATAATCCAACCTGTCATATAGACTTAGGACCCTGAGTGACCCATACCTGTCTGTTTCCCCTCTCATCTTTAAGCTGGAATGACGTCTATAAGAATTAAGTCCTAGACATTTCATAAGAGCGGAGAACCCTAATGCTGGTGCTAGTAGTTGACAGCTTATCCACCTACCTGCCTCCACCTTTCTAATCTTCAAATACTGTCGGCTGGCGGGGGTGGGGGTGGGGTGGTGTGTGTGTGTGTGAGACATGTCACATGTGCTTGACCTTGTCCTTGTCTTCATGGACCTATATTATATTTTGTTTTGTGGATGATATGTGACCTGTATTTAACCACAGCTTATGTCCTGCCACCAAATATGCTTTTCTGCTGCGTCATTCTGACAATTGCTCTGAGGTTATAAACTAAAATTTGCTTCAGCAGTATAAAAATTGACTACAGTATGTACTTGCTTTCTGTTCCTACCACAGATTCCAAAGCTTTATAACATTTATGTTTCACTGTTAAATCCTCTGTGCTCTAGTCCCACTCTGATATGTGGATAGTTTAGTGGTGACAATCATATTTAATTCACTAGCTTTCATTCTTTGAGGCAAGAACTATATTTTTTGTTACTAATAATGGTGACCAAATCTTATAGTTGATGAAGCCTTCAAACTTGGAAATTAACTTCCAGCATGTTGCTACCTTAGAAATTCATTGAACCTAAATCTCTTAAATGTCTTCTTTGTTTTTTTGTAGAGAGGGAAATATGAAGTTCCTAAGTGGCTCTCTCCCAGTAGCATTCTGCTTCTTCAACAAATGTTGCAGGTAAACTTTATTATTTTTAAATACTAGAAGTCCATTGCAATTGTTTGATCCAATTTTAAGATATTTGTAGTCTACTACATTTGGGGATAAAGCATCATTTATGTATTTGCTTAAATATTCTATTCACTATATGTACTGGGCAAATATCCTCTGCTGGATGCTTTTTAATTATGTTGCAAATGTATTTTTAAAATCTCTACCATATGTCTTTGGTGATGTGGTTTTTCTTCCTTTTTTCTTGATCATTTTTGTTTTCTCTCACCAACTCTACTATCTTTTCTTCTCCTCTTACAGAGTAGGTGTTGTTTAGGTGTAGATACTGAATAAATGCTTGAATGACCTGATGCACAAATGAGTAGGCCCCAAGATCTAGCACAGTGGTCCTCAAACACTAACTAGCGTGTATCAGAATTTCCAGATGGACTTGTTAAAACAAAGATGCTGGGTACCACCCCAAGAGTGTTTGATTAATAGATCTGGGGTAGGACTAAGAATTTACATTTCTGGGTCTCCCTAGTGGCCCAAGGGGTTAAGTCTCAGCACTGTGAAGCTATTGGCAGCCACTGCAGCATGAGTTTGATTCCCGGCCAGGGAACTAACCCACATGGTGTAGCAGACCTCTGCTGTCTTGCCTACTGCTCCCCTCAGCAGTGTATATCAGTAGATCCGTCTGTTTTGCTCCCCACTCTCTCTGGTGAATCCTCTCACACATCCCCCCCTCCTCTGGCCTGCACCTCAGCTCTTGTATGTATATTAAAAAAAAGAATTTGCATTTCTAACAAACTCTCAGATAATGATGCTGCTGCTGCTGGTCTTGGGCTCACAATCTAAGAACCACAAATTTATTAGAGTGACCTTTTAGGGCGAAAAATAGGAGTGCTGAAGTCTAAGTATCTAAAAATCAGTAGGCATGCCTTTTAACCTGGTTCTGACGCATTAAATAGGGATTTGAGCCTGACCTTACTGCTTTGCAGTTACGAGGATAAAATGAGATTAAGAGGATACACTTTGAAGATATGAGTACATTATTAGTGCAATATTTTTTTATTATTATATATTCGGCATATCTTTCAGTTTTTCCATCTATTAAGCCATCTCCACTTTTTATTCAAAATTTACCTCAGGCTCACCCACCTTGATTAAGTAGGGCCCTAGACCACCAAATCTCCATAATGAGATTGAAAACACCTCATCCTTTCTTCTAAGCTCCAAAAAACTTAATCTTTGTTGATTAATTTTTCTATCCTCACATTTGAAAATTACAAATGGAAAAGAAAGGTGTGCTTTTCAACTTGTTCTATGTGATTGTAAGCTCATCGGAGGTTAGAGATTGCATATTCAGTATGAATGCCCTCCATTGTGGCTGCTTGAATATTAAATTGGTGAATATTTCCTGTGAATAGGTTTTCCAGCAAAAGACTATTACATCATACAATAGATTGACTGAACTTCATGAATAATGTCCATACCAATGAAGTTCATGTTTGTTAAACATTTATCTTCTAAGCCTGTGTTGGTTGCTATAGTTTTCTTGCCTCTATTGACTCTTTTAAAGAATTTATTTCAAGGCCACTTTAAGGTTTTTGACAGCGTTTTTGTGATGTTAAAAGTTTACATCTGTTCTGATGAATTTTGAGTTCTCAGGAGGAAAGGAGTTCTATGTTCTCTATTTGAAATGGTAATCTCTAGCTGCTTCTCATTGGCCACTAGGTGGACCCAAAGAAACGAATTTCTATGAAAAATCTTTTGAGCCATCCCTGGATCATGCAAGATTACAATTGTCCTGTAGAGTGGCAAAGCAAGAATCCTGTAAGTAAAATGAAATGCAGTAGAATTTTTTTTAAGCGTGTAATCTTAATGTGGATTCAGGACCTACAGTGATGTGTTTAAATATAAAGCAAAATATATTTTGTAGACATACCAGATTAGTGTTTGGAGACTTGTAACCTAATTATGTATTTGCTAGGACAGTGGGTCTTAACCTGGCTGCATGTGAGAATCAACTGGGACTGTTTTAAAAAAAAAGCCTGTAATTCATGACTCATCCCAGAATAATTAAAGGATAGTTTTAAAAGTTCCCAGGTGTTTCTCATGTGTAGTCAGGATTGTGACTAGTGCTCTGAGAATCATGGGTAAGTTACTTAATATTGCCAAGCCTATTTATTCGTCTATACAAAGAAAGGTATGATTTCTTTCTATTTCCCAGAACAGTAATGAAGTGATAGAGTCCTCGAATGTTTCTCTCTGAAGACTCAATATTTATTGACTCATTTAAAAGTAATAAAAAATCATTACATTTTATCACAAGTAAATATCTTTATGAAAAACAACTTTGAAAAATGAATTTTGAGTGACAATAGTAACGTTGTTTTGCATTTTTGTAAATTTCTCTAAAGTCTAGTTGAACAGAGGACACTTGAATCTCATCTGCTTCTGATCTGTTATTTTGATTGAAATGTATAAAGAAAATACACCCTCCTATAGATGTATATCAGGAAAATGGGTAATTTAATAGCTTTTCATGTAATTGGGGATATTCTCTGATATTCCATTAAAAATTGACAAGTGGTAGTTTCTTAAAGATTTAGTTACATGTGAAATCTGAAACCACATGTGAACTTTTTGTACTGTATAAATTACGCTGAACTCCAGTGGTTTGCTCATTAGCTCTTTTCCTCATGTAAACTTAATTATTGGTCATTTGGAAAATATTGACTGACACAGTTATGCAGATCTTTTAAATCTTAACCTATTCATTATACAGTATTTAAAAAATCACCTTCCTTAAAATCAATTGACCTCATCAGGAAAGTCTTTAGGAATTGGAAAGCTGTCAAGGTCATGGTGGCAGATAGAAATTTTCCAACATTCTAATTTCTGCTTGAAAGCCCAAATTATATCACAGCAACAAATACTGTCAGTTGTTTTCCTTGAAGTGACAATTTCACTTTGTTCATGTAAGGGCAGGAATGGACACGGTGCAGGTTTTCTATGATCCAGCAGACTGGGTAAAGGAGAAGTCAGAGTCCTCAGTGGTTTTTGCAGGTCTTTTATTGGGATTTACCCTGTAGACAGCAGGCAAGGGTGCTGGCAGGCCTCCCAGCCCCCATCAAATCCTTACTCTATCTGGGCTCTCCGGTGATCGGTGATCTCTGCTTCTCTCTCGTCTTCTCTTTTGGCTTCTACTGGCGTCACCGTGACGCCGCCCTTAAAAGCACAGTCTTAGCCCAGGTGAATCCCATCTACCTATGCCCACACCCTATTCCAGGTGCCCGCCATCAGGCATGCATTCAGGACCGCAAGGATCCATCATCTATCCTGATGGCAGGAGGGCAGAAAAGCCTGACATTTTTCCTTACCCTACAGTTCACTTTTGAGAAAATTTCTGCCAGATATCCAAGTCTAGATAACAATAGTCTGTCAGTGTTCTTTCAAGTAAAAATGGTGTTTCTGTGAAGAAGGTGGTTGAATCTGCTCCCAGCTCAGTCATACAGGTGCTTTTCCTGCAGACAGCCATCATACTTTAGTATGCAGAAGTGTTTCATACATACTCCCCATTTTGTCACACAGCATATCAAAAACGTGTATATTCAATGACCAAAATTGAATAAAATTCGGACTTTTTACTGCTTCATCAAAATCAATTTCAATTTTTTTAATTGAAACTGATTTTTAAAAAATTTTGAGCTGTGAGTGCATGACAAAGAATAGAGTGTCTCAGTACAGTTTGGTGCTTCTACATTGATTCGTACTAAGGCATCAGCAGTTTTACTCATCATTGCTTTTGCATTAGCCATGCAAATGTCAACACTGAAAAATGAAAAACAATATTATTATAAAAAGTTTTGACCTTGGAGAGTCCTCTGGGGTCTGTGGACCATACATACCTTGAGAACTGGTCTCATATGTATATGAAAGAACTTAAGTAATAAAGTGCTAGGTCCTTTAAGCTCTTATTTGAATAATTATTCCTACATTAATGTTGCGACAAATGACAACTTAAACTTAGTAGAAAATGTGAACATTACTAAAGGATATGTATATGTTGTGTAATATTAGTTAACTATTGCTGTGTTAAAAAACCACGCCCAAATTTAATGACATAATACAACAATAATTTTCAATTCTGTGGAGCAGCAGTTTGGGCTGGCTCAACTAGGCAGGTTTTTTTTTTTTTTTTTTTAATATTATTTTTGTGTAGAAGAACTGGGGTGTAGGCCAGAGTACAGTGGGTGAGAGGATTCACCAGAGACAGAATGGGGAGCAGAAAAAGTGGACCTACTGAAAAACACTGCTAAGGGGAGCAGCGAGCAAGACAGGAGAGGTATGCTGCTCCATGTGGGTCAGCTCCCTGGCCAGGATTGAACTCAGGCCATAAAAGTGATAGCGCTGAGACTTAACCCCCTAGACCACCAGCAAGGCCCTAGGCAGCTCTTCTGTGAGTCTTTCTTGGCGTCACTCGTGTGGCCCAACGGTCTAACTGGATATTTGTGGATATTTGTGTCTTGGGGGCACAAATGGCTCTTGGGCCACATTGTGTCCCAGTCAGTTACTCTGGGCTTCTTGATATGGTAGCTGGATTGCAAAAGAAGCAAGAAAGTGGGCAAGCCCAGATGTTCAAGCGTCTTTCAGGCATTGCTTGCGTCATGTTTACTAATGTCCCATTGGTGAAAGAAAAGCACACGGGAAAGCCCAGAGCCACTTTGGAATGCATACCCTTCAGTGTCAGAACAATTCTTTTTTTTTTTTTTTTTTTTTATAGAGGCATGTTTTTATTTATTTATTTATTTGTTTGTTTGTTTGTTTATACATGCACTGGGTACAGTCAGAAGCGCGGGAGGGTGAGAGAATTCACCAGAGCCAGAGCGGGGAGCAGAGCAGGCAGAAGGACCGAAGCACACTGCTGAGGGGAGCAGCGGGCGGCAGGAGAGGTCTGCGCGCCATGTGGGACCCTCCTCTGGTGGCCGGGGAGCAGCCGGGGATCGAACCGGTGCCGCAGAGGCCGCCGGCAGCTTCGCAACCCAGTGCTCAACCGCTGCGCCACCGGGGAGGCCCTAGTGTCAGAACAATTCTTAACCCTCATTTTTAGATAAAGAAATCAAGAAATAAAAACAACCATTTAAATAATGAATTTAGTAATAAGAATGGCATTACTTTATATCTTTGCACATTTCTTTAACGTTTGGCTTAGTAAAAGACAATGTTTCTCATCTGCTACTGCATTCATTTTGTTTTGATTTGTTATATTGATTGAAACATATGAAGAAAATATAGATAGCCTCACACAGATGTTAGTAGAAAAGTATTTTAATACTATAAAGGAGAAATATTTTAATAGTTTTTTTCCCCAGCTAATTGGGGGTATTTTCTGATAACTCACCAAAACTTCAGCAATGGAGTAGAATATATGCATTGGTTAGCAGAGTAACTTGGAATTAGGGCTCAGACATGCCACAGTGTAGATGGTTCTGCTGGGAGGTTTTTGCTTTCTGGTATAATCATACCAATAAATAACAATACTCTTCCCAAGAATTAACATTATCAAAATGGCCATCCTACCAAAAGCAATATACAGATTCAATGCTATTCCAATAAAAATTTCAATGACATTCTTCAAAGAAATAAATCAATTATTGATGAAATTCATATGGAATCACCAAAACCCCCAAATAGCCAAAGCTCTTCTGAAAAAAAAAAAAAAAAAAAAAGAAGGGAATGGAGGCATCACACTCCCAGACTTCAAATTATACTACAAAGCCATAGTCATCAAAACTGCATCGTATTGGAACAAGAACAGACACACAGACCAATGGAATCGAATAGAAAATCCAGAAATAAACCCACAGATTTATGGTCAACTAATATTTGACAAAGGAGAAAAGAACATGCACTGGAGCAAAGAAAGTTTGTTCAATAAATGGTGCTGGGAAAACTGGGTCACTACTTGCAAAAGAATGAAGCTTGACCACTACCTCACACCATGCACAAAAATCAACTCAAAATGGATTAAAGAACTAGACATAAGACCTGAAACCATAAAATACATAGAAGAAAATATAGGCGAAACACTACATAACATGCACATCAAAGACATCTTTACAGACACATCACCCAAAGCAGTGATAGTGAAGGTAAAGATAAACAGCTGGGACTGCATCAAATTAAAGAGCTTCTGCACAGCAAAAGAGACAATAACCAAAACAAAGAGAAACCCCACCGACTGGGAGAACATTTTTGCACACAACACTAATGATAAAGGACTGATCACAAAAATCTACAAAGAGCTGATGAAACTCAACAAAAACAGAGAAAAGAATCCAGTCAAAAAGTGGGCAGAAGAGCTAAAAAGAAACTTCTCTGAAGAAGAAATGCAAATGGCCAACAGGCATATGAAAAAATGTTGAACATCACTTGTAATCAATGAAATGCAAATCAAAACTAAAATGAGATACCATATTACACCAGTGAGAATGGCACATATTTAAAAAAAACTAGCAACAACAAATGTTGGCGAGGGTGTGGAGAAAAAGGAACTCTTCTGCACTGTTGGTGGGAGTGCAAACTGGTCCAACCACTATGGAGAGCTGTGTGGAGATTTCTTGACCTACTAAACATAGAGCTTCCATATGATCCAGCAATTCCACTCCTAGGTATTTAGCCACCCAAATGACACAGAAACAGTAATTCCAAAGGGCACCGGCACCCCTATGTTTATAGCAGCACTGTTTACAATAGCTAAGCTTTGGAAACAACCCAAATGCCCAAAAATAGATTACTGGATCAAGAAGATGTGGTACATATACACAATGGAATATTATTCAGCAATCAAAAAGATAAACACATGCAGTTTGCAGCAACATGGATGGAGCTAGAAGGGATCATGCTCAGCGAAATAAATCAGAAAGAAAAAGAAAAATACCGGATGGTCTCACTCATAGCAGGAATTTAGTCTTTTTCCTGGTCCCTTATTTAGGTTTTCTAATCAATACAGAGTAAAAATCAAAATCCACAAGCTACTATAAACCAGAGACACACTAGGGTGTGTCTGGGGGGGGAGGGGTGAGGAAAGGAAGGACTAGAGTCAAAATAAGGGAGGAGGGTGCAATTGTATGGGGAATATAACCAAAATGAAAATGCATACATTGTGCAAAGATAAAAAAAGATATAAGAATTATATAAAATAAAATATTTAAAAAAAATACATTTCCCAGGGGCCATCTGGTCTTGGAAAAACAGACGTGGTTTGTTTTTAGCTCCTTCTTAAATAGTCTACCCCACTGTTAATGCCCTACAACCTGAACTGAAATCCATTCTCATTCTGCTGTGACTGTCAGTTCCTAAAATTTCTCGTCATGTCAGCCTTCCCTGACATCTTTAATGTCTTGAGCAAATGCAACTTAGAACTGCAACTTAATTCTAGTAATTGTGACTGCCAAGAGCCTAAGGACAACCAAGCCTGCAGCTGTGTGAGCTGTGTGACAGCAGGACGAGGGAGCTGTGATGTGCCCCTCTTGAGGTGGAGAGAGTGGGTGGTGTCAATGCCTGTGTTCAGCCATTGGGGGTCATCATTTCTCCATGTGTGGGAGGGCTTTGCGTGTCTTCTCAGGCATGACCCTAATAGGCCAGGATCAGATATCCCACTGTTTGCAGTAGAGCAGATGCCAAAATGAAGAAAGTCTCTCATTTCAATAACACAAAAATTATTTAAAATTTAAATTAGTGCACAATCTAAGTGAAATATGTAGTTTTGAGTGATATCCAAAAAACACATAGTTTTCCTTACTTCTTAGTATAATTGCTAATGCTTATTGAATATTTGCTATAATAGAGTAGTGTGCTAATATACATTTCTATATTTTACACTATAACGTCATGTGGCTAAAACCCTTAGGATAATATCTTTAAGAGTCAGGCATTGTTCTTTAGGCTTTATGTTTTTAACTCTTAACTCATTTAATCTTCATACCAACTCCCTGATAATAGATATTATTGTCCCCATTTTTCAGTTGAAGCAACTGACACAGAATCATCTAGTGACTTTTCCAAGCTCAAACAATCAGTAAATGTAGAACCAGGATTTGAATCCAGACAGAAGAGCTACAGGATGTGATGAATCTGATAGGGCAACTAATTGAAACTCAGGGCTTGTAGCCTGAGTAGCTGTAGCCTTTGCGATGAGCATTGGTTATCCAGTCTCTGTTGGAATAGCTACTGGAGCCGCCAAGGAGAGGAGGCATTGTGGTGTGGTAGAAAAAACCCTCAGCTCGGAATGAAAAATGCCAGTCTTGGGCACATTGCATAAGTTTTTCTGAGTATTCACTTTCTTACCTCTATATGTGTATTCTAATACCAATTTTTTATGTATATTTGGGCTTTGTTTTGCCATTTATAGGGTGCCTTTGCATGTAGTATCATTCATCTGCCTTGTCTGCCTTACAGAGACAGCAAGGGGACAAATGAGTTATATGCTAGGAGCTATAAGGATTTATTGTTGCTTTTTGAAGTATTTGCTTTCCCCTCTCTGTTGTGTTTCATCAAGAGTGAACTATAAAAAGTAATTCAGATTTACTTGGATGTTTAAGATATAGATGTGATTCTATAACTCTATGCATGATCTCCCTCTCTCATTTTCAAACACAGCTCTAGTACCCAAGTTTTGTATCAAATAGAAGTTATATTCGGTTCTATTTTCTGCCCTACTGAACAGGAAATGTAGTAGGCACGGATAATCCAAAATAATTGGCTAGCTTTTGGTTTGCATTTTTGTACTTAATTTAACTTGCATGTGTGTGGCTAAGAATTCAGAGTACTTAAATATTGAGCCTCTCTGGAAAACCTGGCATGAGATAAGCCATATTTTGCTGGCTTTTTTCAGGCTTGTCCATGCCACTCTTCACTGTTTCTAGTTCAGGAGTTGTGCAAAGAAGATAGCATCCCTTCTTTTCCCACACATACATTGTGGTAAAGGTACCAACCCAGGAAGCTATGGGGGAGAGAGAAGATGTTTTTTCTTTCTTGTTGCCTTTTCTTTTTTTTTAAGATTTATTTTTTTTTAAGTCAAGTTTTTAATATTTATTTAATTATTTATTTTTTAAGATTTATTTTTATTTATTTATACAAACGCTGGGTACAGTCAGAAGTGTGGGAGGGTGAGAGAATTCACCAGAGCCAGAGCGGGGAGCAGAGCAGGCAGAAGGACCGAAGTACACTGCTGAGGGGAGCAGCGGGCGGCAGGAGAGGTCTGCACGCCATGTGGGACCCTCCTGCAGTGGCCAGGGATCGAACCGGCGCTGCAGAGGCTGCGGGCAGCTTCGCAACCCAGCGCTCAACCGCTGCGCCACCGGGGAGGCCCAAGATTTATTTATTTTTATACAAGAACTGGGGTACAGGCCAGAGGTATGGGAGGGTGAGAGGATTCACCAGAGACAGAGTGGGGAGCAGAACAGGCAGACCGACTGAAATACATTGCTAAGGGGAGCAGTGGGCCAGACAGGAAAGGTCTGCTGCGCCATATGGGTTCGCTCCCTGGCTGGGGATTGAACTCATGCTGCAGTGGCTGCTGATAGCTTCATAGTGCTGAGATTTAACCTTGTGTGCCACCAGGAAGGCCTTGCACCATAGAATTTTAATGATGGGGCAGATGATGACTGAGGGTGTGAAGGGCTGGTGAAGAGCTCATCTTCTTGAACTGCTGTTGTCATCTTCTGATGTCATAAAAAATGGTGGAGGATACTTATTTTACCCAAGAGTTTGACAGATTCATGTTGTTTTTACATATTGATATTTAATTTTACAAGGTTATCATGCTAATTTAAAGATTTTAAAACAATAATTTACAATTTTTCATTAATAAAGCATAAACTTTTTTTGTAGCATATTCACCTTGATGAAGACTGTGTAATAGAACTTTCTGTACATCACAGAAACACCAGACAGGCAATGGAGGATTTAATTTCACTGGTAAGAAATACAACATGAATTTGTTCTTTATCTTAACTGTACATTAAAAATAGTATAGCATTTTCATGATTTTATCATGACTGTAAATATTGCACTTATTTTATGTCGAAGTGTGATTTCAACTCAACTTGTTTCAGGTGTCTGCTGGTTATCCTTTTTTAAAATGACATTTACTAAGAACTACAGAGAAAAAAATAAACAGAGCAAACTAGTCTAGAGAATTGGCAGAATTCTGATTTTGATTACTCTAAATTCTTTAACATGAGCCACGATTCTGTTGTAGAAATAAGGTAAACAAAAAGCAGTTTTCTTCTTACCTAGAAGCAACCCTGTGGCATCATATCACCCTCAAGCTTATGAACCAAATACCATGAAATCATTATCATGGTTTCTGGTGTCGGATCATTTTAGTTCTTTCAGATGCATAATCTGTTGATCATACAAATTCTCCCACTTCCCCCAGAAACAGAGGCACTCACAGCTGTCTCTGAGTGTAATCTAACGTGATGGACAGGGATTGCACCATACTTTGCTCCTGGTTCTCATTACCATATCTTTCATTACCTATGATTTCTATGTTTCTTTTGTTTTCTAACTCGCAAGGTAGACTTCAGCAAATTTTTTTTTTTTTTTTTTTTTTTTTTTAAAGGAAACAGCTTTGTTAAGCCACAGGTTTTTTTAGTGAGGAGAAGAGAAAAGGAATTCAGGAAGAAAAGAAGGAAGAGAGTGGCAGTGTTAGATAGTGGGTTGACATCACCTGATAGTGCAGCTAATACGCTGATTTATCTCCTCTGAGCATCTTATTGTAATGAATAGTAAATTTAGAGGCTATGGCAAAAAAAAAAAAGTTATGGAAGATGCTTTTTAGTCTAGGGAAAGACAGGATTTAGAAGGTGGCTGTAAAACTCCCAGGTATGGCTAGAAAACTATGTTCTTTACAATGCCTGGTTGTGCTATTGTTGATAAGCAAGTGGCAATTTGTTTCTAAACTATTGTCTTTAATCCCTTTATGCATCTCTTTCCAAAATGGTGTCTGCAAAAAAAGTTTGTGTGGATGATGTAAAAATATTCTTTAATGTAGTTTTTGGGAAGTAGAAAATGGTTATGACTACGTAATTGTCACCTTGCTCCCAAGCACCTTCTGCGTGAAACCTTTTTGTTCCTTACCTCCAATCTGTCTAGATTAAAATACTATGATAATTTATCATAGTATTTATTAAAATACTATGATAATTTATCATAGCATTTTCTACTCCCACTAGTTTCATATGCCCGTTGTATAAATTTCAAAGCATTTACTGTAATTTTGGCCATCTAAAATATTAACTGACAAAACTTATTAATAAAAACAGGTGGTAGCAGGCCTCTTTGGATCATCTACTCTATGAGGAGGTACATAGCATTGAATATTATGCGGTGTTGTTAAATGTAACACTTTTGGAGGGCAGAGTCTCACAGTCTTATGAGTATATTATTTAGAAACTTTCAGTTAATCACAGTAGATTGAACAGATATTTTACATCCCCATTTCCTAAAACTCACTAAAATAACAACAAAGCAATAAACAGGCAAAATACTCACAAAGATGAAGAGAATGGGAGACAAAAGTTGTGTCATTATGGTTTTGGAAATTATGAAATGGCTAGATGGCAACTGCTGTAGCATTTTGGGGAAAGCTTAAAGCTACGTGCCCATGGTAGGAAAAGGCAATTAGCAAATTGATTAGAACCCTAGAGCTCCAGGAAGGTTCAGGAATCAGAGATAGTAGGAACCTCTGAAGTCAGGGAGGTGAGTCGCGTGGAAAACAGGAAGATTGGTTGGAAGTCTGATTTGGAACGCTAGGACCCTCGGTCCCTTTCTCTTCCTTATACTAATGACAGCCAACAGAAGACTGGAGACATTGGACAAGGGGCACCCCTGTTCCAGTCACAGCTCAGTCACAGCTCAGAATTTTGTCCTCTTGGCAGTGGTGATGCAGAAAGATTGGAAGATTCATCTCTAGGGGGAAAAGTCAAGAAGACCTACTATACCAGTGTGGGGGACTCAGGTTCCTGTCTATTCACTATAGGGAAAAGCTCCCAGGGTATTGAGCAGTGCCAAAAGTCACACTTTAGTTAGCTGGTAGTGTAATTCTTCACTTCACTTCACTTTTAAATAGAAATAGACAGCAGAGATCACAAGACATTTGAGGAAATTCTTTAACATATGAAAGTCAGGAATCAAAACAAATGGCATGGGTTGGAGGGAAGATGGGGGAAAAGAGTGAAAATACTCAGAAACAGATACTGCAGGAAGTAAAAGAAAATGGCTAAGAAACGATAATGTTTTCAGAGATAAGAGAACCTATTTCTTTCTTGAAATAGGAACAAGATGATTAAACAGGAACATTTGAAGAGATAGCTCTTGAAAATTATAAATATAACCACAGAAATGAAAAGCTCAGTAGAAATGTTTGAAAATGAAATTAAAGGCAAATCTTTCAAAAGTAGAACCCTAAAGACAGAGATGCACAAATAGAAAAGGGATAAGAAAGGTGTAACAAACAGGTAAACAAGTTGTAGGATGATAAAACAGAGAAGCATGAGAAGAAACTGTAGGAGAAATAATGAAAAAAGAGATACTCCAGAATTGAAGGATATGAATGAATTTCCCCATCCCCACTGCCAAGAGGACAAAATTCTGATTTCAGTATTCTCAGAGTTGAATAAGGAAGACACTTAGAAGCAGTGGTTCACTGATCAATTATAAGGACTAAATGTGCCCATGCATCCATTTCCAAGAGGCTCATCACCCCCACCTGAGCTGTGACTGGAACAGGGGTGCCCCTTGTCCAATGTCTCCAGTCTTCTGTTGGCTGTCATTAGTATAAGGAAGAGTGAAGGAACTAAGTATAACTAAGAATGAAGGAACTTAACCAAAGCTTAGCAAAATGGTTGAAAATAGATCCACAGGAAGTCTGAGTGGATATGATCCTAAAAGTTTCTTGAGACATAAGCCAAAAGATCTTATCTAAAGGGTTGGATGTAATCAAGCAAAGTCAGAAAGACTTTAGATTTTTCAGTAAGCTATACCAAAAGCAAGACCATGGAACAGAGCCTTAAAAACTAAAAGCAATTACAGACCTAGAATTCTATGCTTAGCAAAACGAAAATCAAGAGTGAGGTTAGAATGTAGTCATCTATCAGACACAAGATCTCAAAAAATTTACCTCCCATTCACCTACCTTCTAGAAGTTACTGGAGTATATGTTTCACCAAAACAACAATGGAAACTGGGCCTCCCCTGGTGGCGCAGCAGTTGAGCGCTGGGCTGCGAAGCTGCTCGCAGCCTCTGCAGCGCTGGTTCGATTCCTGGCCGCTGGTGAGGGTCCCACATGGCGCACAGACCTCTCCTGTCGCGCCTGCTGCGCCCCTCTGCAGTGTATTTCATCAGTCTGCCTGCTCTGCTCCCCGCTCTGGCTCTGGTGAATTCTCTCACCCTCCCGCGCTTCCGACTGTACCCAGTGCTTGCACAAATAAATAAATCTTAAAAAAAAAAAAAAAAAAAAAAAAACAATGGAAACTAAGAAAGAGGAACGCTGAGGATCCTGGAAAATGGGAGTGTGTACTAGGCAGGATAGAGTCGAAGGGAATTCCTAGGCTGACAGTTGAGTTGCAGGCTAAGGTGCCAGTTCAGTGGAGAATTATCAGGTGGATTGTCTCCAAAAGGGAGATGGAAGAGGAAACAGTTTAGCTGATGTATGTGAACATGTTGAGAGGAGGTGTGAATAGTGTTGGAGAGTTGAATTAGTAACATGAATAACTGCCTTGTTTAATTTTTAACTTCAGGGAAAAGAGTTAAGAAAAAGGAGGAAATGTAAAGATAGCACCCTGTGTGGTTTAGTTGTAGGGCTACACAGCATCACCAAACTTGTTGTTAAGGTACCAGAATACTTACAGACTGACTGGTAAAGAGCTGCAACCCCAAGTATTCTTCCTGTTGCCCTTGTATATCCTTAGGGCCCCTGGGTACCTCCCCTCAATCTTTCCCCCCATCTAGCAATTAAAAGGTTAATCATTGGCATGGCAGGATTCCCCCAGGACTCACTTACCTCTTGGCCTCTGTTTTATTGTTTGGTGTCAGGGCACCAAGTTGATATTTTGAACATTACCTTTACTTAGTTGTAAATACTATTTACAGAATCATAGTAAGGTAAATACTGATTTAACTAAAAATTTTAAGAAAATTACAGTAAGGAAATTCAGAGAGGAAATGTGTGGAGAGAGAAAGAGTTATAGTAGAGTTAAATTCTTATTTTCCATGCTGGGAAATCTGAAGCTGAATATCTGAAGCTAAAAAATATTTTTAAATGTCTATCTATCTATCTATCTATCTATCTATCTATCTATCTATCTATCTATCTATCTATCTATCTGTCTAATTGTAAATATAGGAGAAATAGTTTATTTAAATAGTTAAACATGTTTAAAAGTGGATCCTATGTTTTGGGGTGGGGAAGGGACTATTTTTCATTTTATGCCCTGTAAATCTAAAAAAAAATTTAATTCTGACCCTTATACATTGAGGGAAAAATTAATTTAAAATAGAACATTACTTTAAAAACATCGGCTTTATTTTCTTCCAGTGGCAATATGATCACCTCACAGCTACCTATCTTCTGCTTCTAACCAAGAAAACTCGGGGAAAACCGGTTCGCTTAAGGCTTCCTTCTTTTTCCTGTGAACAAAGCAACACTACTCCATTCACACACATTAAGGTAAACACCCATTATTGCTCCTGCCATGTGCCTATCTTGCTCATGAGTGGAAAACACCAGTGGTCAAGTTAACTTTATGGTGACAAGGATCCAGAGGCAAGACAAGAAGGGAGGGAGGAGGGGCCGGAGGAAGGGGTGGGGAAGGAGGGGTGAGCTAGAATAGGTGGAGTTAGATTGTTGAGAACCTTGAAATGCCATGTCAGAGGGATCAGACTGTATACTGTAGGTAATGGAAACTATGGATTTGTGAGCAAGACATAATAAGTCACTGACATGACTGTAATTTTGAAAAATTCATGCAGTAGTATATAGGATTGCTCAGTGAGGGGTGTGTGTACTGTTACTCTCTACTGCAGTACCCAAGCAGTGTCATTCCTGCAACACTGTGCTTTTGCCCACAGACCCTAGAATTAGCTTTAGTATTTTTCTCAGCCTAGCATTCCATATAGCTAATTCTAATTGATGGTAATTGGCAATCCTGGAGAATTCTTGTCCTCCCTGGTTGAGGAGCAGAAGGATTAGTGGTAGAAACCGTATTGTCTGTATAGTTCAGGTCTGGGCACATTTGCCCTTGAATTAGAACAGTGGTATTGGGACTGGAAAAGAAAGGATGAGGTACAAGAAAATCAGGTAAGATTGCCTACCTAGGTTAACTAGATGTTGAGGGAATGGGAAGGAAGAAGAAATAAAAAATCCAGTTACATTTCAAAACCTTAGGGTATAGGGTCTATCTAGTTTTCCCTTTTTTATTGAGAATCAGTTTCCCTTATTTATAAAGAATGTTTATAGAAACTATTGAGAGAAAAGTCTAGTAATTTTGTTGTGGCGATCCTGTCTCTAGGAGACCTTTTATTAGGCTAATTCATTGGTACTGGAAATCTCATGTTCTCACATCCAAGAAATCTGGTTTTCAAAGTCCTTTCCCTTCTTCTGTTCCATCTTCTATGTTTTTTATTTTTTAGATTTACAAAGGTTTTTACTTATAGATTTACAAGACAGTTATTTGTCTGGTATGATGGCGATTATTTGGTACTGTTAAGTTGTATGTCACATAACATGAGAATGTTCCAAGACATAATGTTTCAGAGCCAGAGATTTCTCCTATCTAGTAGTTTAAATTAAAATTTTTTGACTTCCTGTTTTCTGTACTGGATGGTGAGCTCCTTCAGTATAATATCTCTCCATTGTTTCTGCCTCCAGGGCTCTGCCCTGTGCCTGGAATATGCTATTTTAATACTTGTGTCATGGTGGTGATGTCTCAGTGTTCTTCTGTTTTTTAATAGTCAAAGAATCTGAGTCTAGAAGATATGACCACAAATGATGAAAATGATGCAAATGGGCTAGTAGACCATGAATGGTGTGAAGAAAGTTCATCAACAGGTGTGGCTACTCCCCAAACACCACAGGTTGGCTCTTTTTATTACTATTTAAAACAGAACATGTTGTCTTAATTGTAAAAAAAATCTAAACTCTTAACATGAGATCTCAGATATATTTGCAAATGTGAATTCTTAAGCTAGTGAAAAAACTAATGAGAGATTGTTGGGATATGAATGAAATGGAAGCCAATTATCTCCAAGTTAAAGAAAATCAAGATTCCATTTTGGAAAACGTTATTGTTCCCTTTCCTTTTAAAACATGAGGTGTAATATCCTCTTTCCCCTTTGTAATCTTTTCATCCTACATGGAGTTTGTGGAGCTTATTGGATATATAATTAATGTTCTTCCTCCCTCCCTCTGAGGGATCACAAAGAATGTACTCTTGCCTTCAGCAGTGAGGGCAGGTGCAGGTGTGTGTGTGTTTCTGCTCCTGGACACTCATCAGAGACTCAGAATCCAAATTGCTTATTGAGGGCTGGTTACACAGACATTCTTTGCTGGTGTGATTAGTCACAGTCATAGAAATTCTGTATTTCCAGAAGGAAAGCAGGTGTTCACCATACATCACATGGTTTGTATAGTCTGTATAACCTGGTGCAGCAGGGTTCTGTACTCCAGCCATACAAACAGACTCATCGGCATTGGGGGCTTTTTTTTTTTTTTTTAAATAAAAGATTTATTTATGCATACAGGAACAGGGGTACAGGCCAGAGGTGCGGGGGGTGAGAAGATTCACCAGAGGACAGAGTAGGGAGCAGAACAGGCAGACTGACTGAAATACACTGCTGAGGGGAGCAGCGGGCTAGACAGGAGAGGTCTGCTGCACCATCTGGGTAGCTCCCTGGCAGGGGATCAAACTCATGTTGCAGTGGCTGCGGACAGCTTCATAGGTTGCATCTTAACCCCTTGCGCCACCAGGAAGGCCCCAATTGGGGAGTTTTTAAAAGCTGAGCTCCTGGGCTCCGGCCAGAACCTGCTACCTGTGTTGTGTGCAAGAGTATAACAAGTATAGATTTAGGAGTGGAAAGACTATCTGGAACCTTAACTGATAATGCCAACTTTTCCTTTGAAAAAGTTGTATTGATTATATGGCAGCCAATAATATATGAGTTTTCTCATTGATTCCATATTTAGCAATAATTGATATTTTTAGCTATTTAATATTTTCTGATCTGGTGAGTATAAAGTGATTTCTCGCTGTGGCTTTAATTTGTACTTTTCTGATTTATGCTTCTTTTCATATATTCTTTGGTCATTGGTTTTTCCTAATTATGAAATAGTTTTGTTGGGTTCTTTACTTATTTTTCTATTGAATTGTTTCTTCAAAAGCAGTTTTTCATTTAACTTTAATTCTGATCCTTAGTTGGTTATATGGTAGAATTGTATTGTCTGAGTTTATCACTTATCTTTTTTTTCTCATTTTGTATATTTTTAACATCATTTTTCATTTTTGCACAATGTATGCATTTTCATCTTGGTTATAGTCCCCATACAATTCCCACCCCCCTTGTTTTGATCCTACTCCCTCCCCTCCCCCTTACTTTAATTACAGAAGTCATTAATTTTAATGAGTTGTCAGTATTTTCCTTTATGGTTTAAAATTATTGTTTTGTATTGTCTTCTGAAAGATTCTTACTTAAACATAAATGCAGTCCACGTATATTTTGTTGAAAGTTTTTCCTTTCACATTTATTGGAAATTAATTCTCCTATATAAAGCAGGGAGCCAGCTATTCCCTCATATAATCAGTAGTGCTAGTGAAGTTGAAAAATTCATTCTTTTCCCACATACCTACTGGCACTTCTGTCATATATTAAGTTGTCATATGGATGTGTCTGTTTCTCTGCTATATTTTGTTTTATTGGTTTATTTGCACCAACACCACACACCTTAATTTCTATAATTTCTTCATAGTTCTAATATGTGGTCACAATTTCCATCATATTTTTCTTTAGGAATATCTTGGCTATTCTTGCCCCTTTGCATTTCCATATACATTTTTAGATTCATTTTGACAAATTCCACATACACTCAAAAATTGAAATTACACTGATTTAAGATTCAATTTGGGAAAAATTGAAATCTAGACTCTCAACTCCCCCATCTATTTACGTAATATGCCTCTCCATTTATTACTTTGAATAAAGTTGTATAAATTTCTGTATAAATAAGATCTTTCATATCTTTTATTTGATTTATTCTTAGGTGCTTTTATTTTTTATTGCTGTTGGGAATGGTCTTTTTTAAGCCTACATTTTCTAACCATTTGGTGCTAGTGTATATGAAATTGATTTTTATATATTAATCTTTTATCAACAACTTTTCTAAACTCTTTCAAATTCTTATAAAAAGCCATTAAAATTAATTATAATGTGTCTTAGTCATCTGTTTGGATTTATTTTGCTTGGAACTCTTTGAGCTTCCTGGATCTGAATGTCTGTTTTCTTCCCTACTATGGGAAGTTCTTAGCTATCATTTCTTCAAATAGGATTTCTGCCCCTTTCTCTCTCTCCTCCTTTTGGAACTCCTGTGATGCAAATGTTGTTCCTCTTGATATTGTCTGTCTCTTATGTTGTCTTTATGTTTTTAAATTCTCTTTTACTTTTGCTGGTCTTATTTGGATGCTTTCCACTCTCTGTATTCCATCTTGCTGATTTGTTCCTTGGCCCCAGTGAGTCTACTGTTGCACCCCTATATTGTATTTTTTAGTTCCGCTACTATATTCTTTATGACTTCTACTGGGAACTTTTTCATACTTGCTCTTTTCTTGTTATATTTCTTGTTTTGTCCATCCATTGTTCTCTAAATTTCAGTAAGCCTCAATAAGACTCTTGCTCTGAAATCTTCTTTCAGGGTTTTGGTTAATTCTGTTGTATTTGGTATTTTTCCCAGGGTTTTTCTTGATCCATTGATTGGGGTCAATTCCTCTACTAATTGATTCTGTTTGATGTTCTGTGATTTTTTTTAAAATAAATTTTATTTTTATATTCCCCATACAATTGCAACCCCGATTTTGACCCCAATCCCTCCCCTCCCCGCCCCCCACCCCCCTTAGAATGTCTCTGGTTCATAGTTTTTTGTTGATTTTGATTTTCACTTTCTTATAGTTATTCATTTTCCTGGTCCCTTATTTGAGTTTTCTAGATTCCTGGTATGAGTGAGACCATCCAGTATTTTTCTTTTTCTTTCTGACTTATTTCGCTGAGCATGATCCCTTCTAGCGCCATCCATGTTGCTGCAAATTGCATGTGTTTATCTTTTTTGAATGCTGAGTAATATTCCATGGTGTATATGTACCACATCTTCTTGATCCAGTCATCTATTTTTGGGCATTTGGGTTGTTTCCAAAGCTTAGCTATTGTAAACAGTGCTGCTATAAACATAGGGGTGCAGGTGTTCTTTGGAATTGATGTTTCTGTGTCCTTTGGGTAAATACCTAGGAGTGGAATTGCTGGATCATATGGAAGCTCTATGTTTATTAGGTCCAGAAATCTCCACCCAGCTCTCCATAGTGGTTGGACCAGTTTGCATTCCCACCAACAGTGCAGGAGAGTTCCTTTTTCTCCACATCCTCGCCAACATTTGTTGTTGCTATTTTTTTAATATGTGCCATTCTCACTGGTGTAAGATGGTATCTCATTGTAGTTTTGATTTGCATTTCCCTGATTACAAGTGATGTTGAACATTTTTTTCATATGCCTGTTGGCCATTTGCATTTCCTTTTCAGAGAAGTTTCATTTTAGCTCTTCTGCCCATTTTTTGACTGGATTATTCTGTGATTATTTTTATGGATTGAGCTCAACTGCTTTCCTGCCCAATCCTGTTGTGATCGTCTTGCATTAGAATTGGAGATTACAGGGTATTGGCCTAAGGTGTGGGTGTTGGGTGCTGTATTGTTTGAAACCTCATTGTCATAGGAAGACGATGTGTGGGGTCTTTGGTGCGGGAGGGTTGTAAAGGTTGCTGCAGTAGATTGCCAAGAGTATAAAGCCCCTTGGTGCTGCAGCCCCTTGAGCTGAGGGAGGGATGCAATCACCATGCAGTCCAGGCAGGTGACGGCGTACTCTGCTAGTGGTGCTCTTCCAAAAGCCCCAACTGCAACTGGCCCTTCAGCTACAGTCCAATTCTGATCTCAGCAGGTTTTGCTGACTGTGCCTTTCCTCTGAGTTTCAGCCTTGAGCAGTGGCCAGGGGTCTGTGGGCTTGAGTTGCTTGCAGGCACCACAAGAAGTTGCAGATTGCCTAGTAGTTAGGCTGTCCAGATGCCTGAGTTTCATTCTTGGTTATATCTGTGGATTCTGGATCCTGTTTTTATTTTGGCCTCTAAGGACTTTCTTTGCAAGCTCAACTCAAAGCGCAAATAAATTCAAAAGGATTAAAAAATATTTTTTACCCAATATTTTTGCTAGAGTATTTGAGCATGTTTTCCACCCTAATCATTGACTAAATTTTAATTTTTTGGTACAGACCATATCAATCAAGGTGTGGGAAGCCATTCTTAGGGAGTTGTGGTTATTCTCAATATTTTCTAGCATCTGGGTATGTTTGATTAAACACTTGCCCTGAAACATGTTGAAAATTAACTTTCATTAGAACATACTAAAATGATCTACATGTATTAAAAAGGACTGAATATATCTTCAAATTTTCTAGTATTGCCAATAATATCCTTTGGATAGTATTTAATTTTAATAAAGATGGTACAAGGTAATTTGCAAATAATTAAGCATGTTGCAAAGAAATTGACTTTTCTTCTTCAGTGTGCTTTATTCAATAACTTTTTTTTTTCCAGTTTGCCAAGCATTGGACAGAATCAAATGGTCTGGAATCTAAATCATTAACTCCAGTATTATGCAAAGCATCTGCCAATAAATTAAAGAACAAAGAGAATGTATATACTCCTAAGTCTGCTGCAAAGAATGAAAAGTACTTTGTATTTCCTGAGCCAAAGACTCCAGTTAATAGGAATCAGCATAAAAGAGAAGTACTCACTACACCGAATCATTGCACTACACCCTCAAAAGGTATTTGCTATTTGTGTTAAGTAGTGGTAAAATACTTTCAAATTTTAGTCTTACCATGTTGACAACAAGTCAAAATTGATTAGCAGTTGCTCTCAGGAATTGCGTGAAGTCAAACTGCTTTTTGAAAAATCATGTTATTTCCTTTAGTTGAAATGAAAGCATATAAGCCAACCTCTAATTTTTCTCAAAGGATATTAAGTTTTTTTCTTTTTCACATTCATAAAGTTGAATGATAGCCTCATAGAATATCAAAACTGAAAGGCAAGCTAGAGTTCATTTAATCCTCTTGCCCTTTTCTCAATGACCTGCCCAAGGTTTAGATTTAGACCTATCCTGGGTTAGATTTTGCTTGTTTTGTTGTCTCTGCTTATAATGATGAAAGCCAAAAACTCCAGTGAGCCCTTTTTATTTGTCTGGGTCTCCATTCTGGTGTTGGATTCTGCTATTCCCCGTTCTGCTTACCCCCAGTACTTCAGCAGCCTGGATAAATCTCTGTATGCTGTCTGTATGTGTGTCAGTATACCACAACTCATATTTCCTTTGGTTTCCTCTTCAGCCTAATCGTCCATTATTTAAGCTATTTACTTTACGACACCTCAGTGTGTTGTTTTCTGGCCTCATCAGGACACATTCTATTTTGTCAGTATGCCTCTTAAAACATAGTACCTAGAACTGAACCCACTTTTCTGCTGTCTCACCGAGGATAAGAGAGCACTGTGAGAGTAGAGACCCTGTCTGCTATGTTTATTGCCGCTTGGTGTAATATATAGTAGGGGCCATCTTTGTTGTCTTGTACATAGTAGGTGCCCAATGCTTGTTTATAGTAGGGGCCATAGTTGTTGAATGAAAGGTAAATAAATTAGGCAGAGCCTGAAGGAACTTTATTTACCATGATCTAAACTATGTCACTTTTAAAATGACACCTGTATCTAAAGGTACAATTGTGGCTTACTCTTTGTTGTATTGCTAACAAACCTGAACTTTGAAACAGTGCCATGCGAACGGCTGCTCAGCCACATCCTGACATTGTTCTTTCAGTTTGCTGATGGGGCTGGTAACTGGTTTAAGAAGTCAACTTATACCTAAAGCTATCACGAAAAGGTTTGTTAAGACATTTGCTGAAAGTCCTGTTGTGTTAATTGCATCCTTGTGTTAATCAATTCAGACTCTTTTCCCAAAGTTGTGAGGCTAGTTGGTGTGGTGATGTTTGTGTGTGTGTGTGTTTGCCTGTAGTTGTTTATGAAGGTTCAGTGAGACGCAGTAGAACCCCAGCATCTTTTCCCAGTGCTTTTCCTAATATAGCTATAACATCCCTTGTGAATAAGTGGGTTGGACAGGGAGGTAAGAGTGACCTGAGCTCACCTACACATATTCAGGCTTTTTTTTTTTTTAATAGTCCCTTCTCTTACTGATATTTTTTACCTTTTATGTAATTCTGAGGTTTTGAAATATGAATAGTTAGGAATTATTAATAAAAGTGTCATTGTTTTACTTATCTTGTTCCTGTAAGAAAAGATGTTGGTCAAAAACTATTATTGGCTATTTTCCTTTAAATGTAGGAGCCGCCTACAGGAGGCAAGTGACTGAAGCCCGATTGATAGCTTCCATTAGCGCTTTGCATTTTACTTTCGCTCTAGTCATTTTTGACATAAGCATTAATTTCATTTTTCTGAATCCTGTACAATCTAGTCAGTGACAATTTGTCAACGAGTTACAATGTAAGGCAGTAGATCCTCTCACTATGCAAAGATGAAAACTGTTTTCACAAATGTTTTTGATTGGTTTTATTTTTTTCTTGTAGAATCAGTGATAATAGTGCTGAACAGCCAGAAACAAAACCAGAATGCTGAATCTTTTTTAAAAACTTGATAAATATTTATTCTAAGTGCATATTATCCCCAGAGGGTATATATCTTTTTAATCATGTACAACAATGATTAAATCACTGTTAAACAGATTTGTTTATATAAAATTATGATAAATTATCTGGGATACGAAAACCCAATCTAGAACAAAACAAAATTCTGGAAAAGGAAATATAAAAATGGCTAAAGCTCATGTCTTTTTAATAACTTTTTTCAAACTTTCACAGGAGACTGTTGTCTTTGCCTGACAGGAGTTGAATGGGACTAAGAACTGAATTAACACCTCGATATATGTCAACGAAAGGGATAAATTGTGTTCTTGTATAAATATAGATTGAATTTTATTTATAGAGAGGAGAATCAGTATCATCAGCATACATATGTCCTATTTAGATTTGTCATATGGTATTTATAATAAAACCATAAGCATTACCTCAGTTTTACAATGAGGAAAAAGTAAAATGGTTTTGTTTTTATTATTGATTACAGGGAAATATTTCTTTAAAGAATGAGAGCCTTGACATCACCAGCCAAACAATTATAATATTTCTGAGTCAATGAATGAGGTGGTAAATGGGTTATTGATAAGAAATTTTTATATCATAGTCTGTCAGCTACATGTGGTTTGTGTTTGTTGTTTTTCTAATAGTTAGAAACCAGTGCCTGAGAGAAACCCCAATTAAAACACCATTAAATTCAGCAGGAGAAGAGAAGCTAATGACAGGTGTCATTAGTCCTGAGAGGCGGTAAGTGTTCCCTTTTCTTTAGACTTTCTCATCTTTAGTTACTATAATCAGATTTCTTTTGCCATGTAGGACAAATCTGATTAAGGTAAACTATCACATAGGTTCTGTCAGAGACTGTAGGAATGTCTGTCTATATGAGGACTGTCGCCATTACTGGAAAGCCACTGCCTTCCTATGGCGTGGGATTGTGAAATTCACCAGCAGTGGGACCAGTATCTTAATGGCAGGCTGGACGACAGTGGTCCTGCCCCCAGCCACATAGTTCCCTCTCTAATGTCCATCTTTCCCTACTCTTCTGCCAGTAGGGTATAAATATCCACTTACACTGTTACCTGTAAACAAAGATACAAAGTGGTGTTTCAAAGAAAACCTATTTCTGTTCTGCAGGAAAGGTCTCTCTTCGTTGTCTTTTATAGCAAGTTTTTTAAAAGCAGGATCCATTTTGAGGACAGTTGGTGGAATTAGAATGTAAACAGGATATTAGAGGATACTATGGCATTATTAATTTCTTGAAGTCATAATGGTATTAGGTTCACATAGGCAAATGTCCCTGTGTATTGGATTTGTATGCTGAAGTGTTTCAGAGTGAAGGGTTGTAATATCTTCAGACAGGTTACTTTCCAATGGCTTAGCTGTACATGCACTTCATGTGTTGTCTATCAGTTAGAGAAAGCAAGTATGGCACTATATTAACAGTTGTTGAATCTAAGAGGGTATGTGACGGTTCATTTGTTCACCGTACTATTTTTGACTTTTCTGTATATTTCACATGGAAAAAATGGTAGGGGTAAATAATTCTGCCCAGTGGCAGTGACTTGCAGGTGATGGCTGCATTCCAGTGGGAGATCGTGCCCATGCTCCTGAGGAGGAGGCGGATGGTCAGGTCATGGTGTACCTGAATGAGGCACATCTAAAGAACAGCACAGAAAACCCTGTGAGGGCCCCAGCAGCCAGGAAGCCCAGCTTTACACGAGTTTTTTTCTTTTTTAAGGTGCCGTTCAGTGGAACTGGATCTCAACCAAGTACATGTAGAGGACACGCCAAAAAGAAAAGGAACTAAAGTGTTTGGGAGCCTTGAAAGGGGGTTGGATAAGGTTATCACAGTGCTTACCAGGAACAAAAGGAAGGGCCCTGCCAAGGACGGGATAAGAAAACGAAAGGTGAGTGGACTAGATTTCTTTAAAGTCTCTTAGTTTTTTTAAGGTAACAAATCATATGTAGTTAAGTTCTTTTTTTTTTTGTTTAATAAAGATTTATTTATTTATTTGTTTGTTTGTTTATACAAGCACTGGGTACAGTCAGAAGCGCAGGGAGGGTGAGAGAATTCACCAGAGCCAGAGCGGGGAGCAGAACAGGCAGAAGGACCGAAGAACACTGCTGAGGGGAGCAGCGGGCGGCAGGAGAGGTCTGCGCACCATGTGGGACCCTCCTTCGTGGCCGGGAGCAGCCGGGGATCGAACCGGCACTGCAAAGGCTGCGGGCAGCTTCGCAACCCAGCGCTTACCCGCTGCGCCACCGGGGAGGCCCGTAGTTAAGTTCTTTTAAGGAAACAATCCATAAAAATCTGAAATTTAAATAAATTATTTTATATAAGGAATTACTTAAATTTTGATTTGAAATTCAGTTTATTATTATCTTGACAAAGCCAGTTTAGTTTGGTGAAAGCCCTGGATTGGGAGTCAGGGGAAAGAGGGGCCTGTCGTAGCTGGGCCACTTTTTCCTTTATCACTTGAACTTGGGATCCCCAAACTCCATTCATTTAACTCACCTCCATATCAGATTTCACCTGTGCTATTATTTATCTAGTATTTTCTTTATAGCAACTTTTAAAAAAATACAGATTTACAGAGGTATAATTGGCGTACTATAAATTATACATATTTAGTGCACAATTAATATGCTTTAGCATTATATATGTACCTGTGAAACAAGCCATCACCACAATCAAGATGTTTAAAACCTAGATTTAAGGCCTCCTGGGTGGCGCAGGGGTTAAAGACAGTGCTATCAAGCTATTGCCTTTGTGACACCAAAGGTACTAGTAGGAAGATAGGGGTTTTATCCCTCTCTTCACTTATTAAAAATGGCGCCAGATGCACAGTGAGCCTTCAGTAAATGGTTGTTGAATAATGAATGGAGGGATATTCCAACTAGGAATGAAACTTCCTCTCAATGAGAAAAAAAATTATTTGGCTTTCCTTTTTATTTTATTTTATTTATTTTATTTTTATTTTTATATTCCCCATACAATTGCAACCCCCTTATTTTGACACCAAACCTTCCTTTCCCCTCCCCCCACCCCCATAGTATGTCTCTGGTTCATAGTTTTTTGTTGATTTTGATTTTTTCTTTCTTATAGTTATTCTTTTTCCTGGTCCCTTATTTAGGTTTTCTAGATTCCTGCTATGAGTGAGACCATCCGGTATTTTTCTTTTTCTTTCTGGCTTATTTCACTGAGCATGATCCCTTCCAGCGCCATCCATGTTTCTGCAAATTGCATGTGTTTATCTTTTTTGAATGCTGAGTAATATTCCATGGTGTATATGTACCACATCTTCTTGATCCAGTCATCTATTTTTGGGCATTTGGGTTGTTTCCAAAGCTTAGCTATTGTAAACAGTGCTGCTATAAACATAGGGGTGCAGGTGCTCTTTGGAATTGATGTTTCTATGTCCTTTGGGTAAACACCTAGGAGTGGAATTGCTGGATCATATGGAAGCTCTATGTTTAGTAGGTCCAGAAATCTCCACACAGCTCTCCATAGTGGTTGGACCAGTTTGCACTCCCACCAGCAGTGCAGGAGAGTTCTTTTTTCTCCACATCCTCGCCAACATTTGTTGTTGCTAGTTTTTTTAATATGTGCCATTCTCACTGGTGTAAGATGGTATCTCATTGTAGTTTTGATTTGCATTTCCCTGATTGCAAGTGATGTTGAACATTTTTTCATATGCCTGTTGGCCATTAAAGAGCTGATGAGACTCAACAAAAACAAAGAAAATAATCCAGTCATAAAATGGGCAGAAAAGCTAAAAAGAAACTTCTCCGAAGTGGCTTTCCTTTTTAAAGAATACTTTTTATATTAATTCTCTTATACAGTTGTCATAGAACCAGTTCCTAGAGTTCTCTAATATTAAGGGAAGAATTAAGAAAACATTAAAGAAGGAATTAAGGAAACATACCCAACTATATACAAACCAAATTTTCTAGGATATTTCTTTCCTCGTCCCACAGTCTATATTTCAAGACTTAATGTCTTTATTGTGGTATAATAGGGGAGAAAGACGTGAAGTTCAAACATAGATATTATTCAACATTTACTAATTTCTTGAAAGAGATTAGATTAGTAGAAAAGAAAAATGAAAGTATAAAAAGAATTCTCTGCATGTACTTACTAATATATATGATTTCTCTAAGCTTTCTCAGTGCATTGTATTTGTGCACCTGGATTAAACTTAATCTACTTTACCAAGAGTTCAATGTAAATCTTTTCAGTATTTTTCTTGAAATATTTCCATTTGAAACTATATTGAGGAGCTTTTGGATTCTCTTTCAGCTAGGATGATCTTTGTAAAGATTTATTTCTCACTCCTTTTTCTTTTTTTAAGCTTCACTATAATGTGACTACAACCAAATTAGTGAATCCAGATCAACTCCTGAATGAAATCATGTCTGTTCTTCCAAAGAAGCACGTTGACTTTGTACAAAAGGGGTAAGCAGCTCATTTAAAGGATGTTGCATTTATAATTTGTTATCTTTTCAGCTTTGAGAAAATACGGGTTGATTCCTTTCTCCACTTAAAAAAATTAATTTCTCCCACTGTGTTCTAAAAAACTTTTATAGTAGTGTAAGCGATGCTACTATAATTGATTCTCTTTTGTTTTTTATGAACTATAGATATTTTCAAGCACCCATATTGTTACCAATTTCAATGTTAGATTTTCCAAATAAGAAAATTAAAACTTCTTCCAGATTTCTTTTGCATCCTCAACTGATATTCTGCTTTCCAAAAATATTTACAAATTATAATTCAATTTATGGGGTACTTCAAACAAATTCACCATTTATATAGAATCCTTCTCTTTATGTCTTGCTATTTTGCATGATTGAATTTTCAGTACTTTAAGAAGTTATTTCACCTAAACACTTTCCCACTGTTGATTGAACTGCCATCCAGACTTCCTTGGTTATGATCTCCTGGTCTGACTAGCTAATACCTTTCTGGTTACCTAAAATGTTCATATTTTTAAGCAATCCACTTAGTAATGTGTCTTTAAAATTCATTATTAAAGCAACTATGAAGAGTTGCTAATAGATTTAACAAAAACATGTAAGTAGCAGTCTTTTGCAAAAGTAATTTTGCTTTCACTCCCTGTGAATGTTGGCAAGTGCACCTTGGAGAACCCTTCACTAGGTATTGCTGGAACATATTTCATGCACTATGACCTGGTCTTAGTGCTTGGGGCTTTTCTAGGTTCCAGAACCTCTAGCCAAATCTGTATTAGAAGACTTTCAATTATTTCCTTCAGCATCTGATCTCTCTATCAGGTTGAACTTCCTGATCAACCAGGTCTCTGCCTTTATCCTTTATCCTTCCTGCCCCCCCACCCCCATGTTTTTACCTTCTTTGTAATAAGGCAGGACAACAACAAAAAGATTTTTCACTAGAGAGATGTTGCTTATATTCCACTAGTATCTTTTTTTCAATCAGGAAGAATGACTTTCAATCTTCCATATTAGTAATATGCTTTATCTTCCCACCAGGAACTTTATCAGGGTGCCCCCCTTAGCATTTCTGATACTGAATATTTTTAAGAGATCAAGCCCCCAAACACATAACTAAGAAAAAAGAATGATATTTGTGAATCCTCATATTATATAACAGATACATAGTTACTTCTCCACACTTCTTAGAGAACGCTACCTAATCATGTGCCTCTAATTATTTAGGAATCTGTCATTTAAAATCAATTCTATCATTTCTAGTGCTTTAGTTGTTCTAGTGTTTGTTTATTGGAGATCAGCAAGGCAACTGAATAAAACTTTAATATAATGTGAACTAATTAAAAACCAATTTAATTTGCATGAAATCAATTTATGCAACTTTTCAGAAACACACCTATTTCTTTCTTTCTTTCTTTCTTTTAAAGATTTATTTATTTATGCATACAAGAGCTGGGGTACAGGCCAGAGATGCGGAGGGTAAGAGGATTCACCAGAGACAGAGTCGGGAGGAGACTAGGCAGATGTACTGAAATACACTGCTGAGGGGAGCAGCAGGCAAGACAGGAGAGGTCTGCTGTGCCATGTGGGTTGTTCCCTGGCCGGGGATGGAACTCGTGCTGCCCTGGCTTCGGATTGCTTCATAGTGCGGCGCTTAACCCCCTGTGCCACCAGGGAAGCACCAACACACCTATTTCTTAAGATGAGTTTAAGGCTTCATTTAGACTGGGCCTTTCCATTGTCAAAGTAGATAAGGTGGCAGTTCTAATTATAAATGCCATACGTCCCAGTGTAGCGTCTCTGGACTTTCTTTTGTAAACCTCTGATTACTATTAGAATAACTGAAAAGCACGTGTCCTAGCAGATGAGTGGCTTCAGATTTATTTGTCTGAAAGACAGAAGTTTCTGATGAGGTGCATACAAAACATATTCTTAATCTTTCCTGTGCCTTCTTTTGTTGTGAACATTGTGGAAATGGCTTAATGTTCTCGGATTACACTGTTGAAAGAATTGCATAAAGGATGCCAGAAGATTTCTTGAGCATGAATGGCATGTATAGCTATGAAAGAGGGACTTTTCTTTGGAGCAAGGGAAAATTCTGGTAAAGCCTTTTCATCCTTATTCTTTCTTAAGATCCTAGCTTCTGAGAAAACACCAGTCATATGCTACCACTAAAGCATAGCTAGGTCATTTGGAAACTGTAAGCAGTGATACATTACTTACATGAAATAATGGTTCATTTTCTTCACCAACCTCCTACAGGCTTAGAAATCTCTGGTATCATACAGAATGTTCATGGTTCTCTTACTAACTGGCTTCTTATCTTGTTTTTCACAGCTATACACTGAAGTGTCAAACACAGTCAGATTTTGGCAAAGTGACAATGCAGTTTGAACTAGAAGTGTGCCAGCTTCAAAAACCCGATGTGGTAGGCATCAGGAGGCAGCGGCTTAAGGGTGATGCCTGGGTTTACAAGAGATTAGTGGAAGACATCCTGTCTAGCTGCCAGGTGTGACTGATGGGTGATTTCCATCCTGCTGGGGGAGTGTGGGTGTGACCCAGCCTACATGGAGGCCAGGGTGATGGTTTGATTTTTAAAGTCCCTTGGAATGACACATTCTTTTCTAAAGAACTGTCTTAAAGACCAGTATCTTGTTTTTAAGCAAAAGATATTGTTTTGTGGATCAGTCTAAGACAAGCCCATCTGTCATTCTCTGTTTCTGTCTTTTTTAATCACGTGGCTTTGTATATTAATAACTGTTGACTTTCCTATATTCACTTCCATATGTGATTGTAAGCTCTTAACTATGCCTCCTTTTAATGTGTAATTTCTTTCTGAAATAAAAGTGTTTATGAATGTAACAGGCGTCTCCTATTCTTTGTATTTGATTTTGATCCAAATAAAGCCTCAAATGGCTTCCTGACTATTAAGTAGAGACTATTTGGAGTATGTTTTATCTGTTATCAAATATGCCTTGGGCAGAAAAACAGATAAGAATTCATTTGCATAATTTTTTCCTGTCTCTGATTTAAGTAGGATTTATTGAGATCGTTAACTAAGTCACAGCTGTGGTTACCAGAGTTAAACAACACATTTAATATGTTGAATAAAAGAGTATTGACTTCGGTAAGTGTGTTCGGTCAACAGTGATAAGTATCTGAACTATGAACCCTCATGAAATGTTACTTTATGGTAATTTTCCTTAAGTCTCTATGTTGGCCTCAAATTTGTATTATTATTTCACTTTATTGGTCTCCAAAGGCCAGAACTCAAGTTATATTTGTATGGTTTTTACCAATTAAACTAGTTGGAGGAAAAAATAGCACTATTTCTAGCCATAGTGAGGGAGTATTTTGTTATTCATTTATTCAGTAAACATTTACTAAGTGTTTACAAGCATTAGATCCTGGGGCTGAAGATGATGCTGTCTAGTTAACTTAGGAAGTTCAGAGTCTATTAACAGGGGCAGATGCACAAACCAGTATTTATAGCCTAGAGGGGATGATCAGCTTGTAAGGGATGATTCTTAGAGGAAACACTATTTGGTCTAGAAGAATATATAAGAGTTCAACAGGAAGAGAAGAGGGGCAGCATTCTTGACAGCAAGAATAATGTGTGCAAAGGCATGGTATTATAAAAAGGCATGATAAATTTAGGGCAGAAAGAAAAAAATAGCAGGAGATGAAGGTTGTAGGTTTAGCTGGATATAGGTGATGAAAAAATTTGAATGTTTCACTTACTGAAGTGTCTTGGCAAAGAAGATCTGTCAAAGGATTTTACATTTTTTTGTAACAGCTTATTTGTGAGTGTATAAGCTGAGTATATATGTGAGTATCTCACCATAAAAATTCATCCCTTTAATGTGTTCTTTAGCATGAAAATGTGCAACCGTCACCACGCTGTAATTTTAGAACATTTCCATCACCTCAAAGAGAAGCCCTGTACCCATTAATGGTTACTCCAATTGTCCTATCCCATGGTCCCTGGCAGCTTCAAATTTGCTTTCTCTGTGGACTTGGCTGTTCCGGATTTTTTGTTTAAATGGAATCATAATATGTGGCCTTTGGACCTGGCTTCCTTCACTTAGCATCATCTTTTCACCCATGTCATAGCCCGTGTCAGTACTTCATCCTTTCTACAGCTGAATAATATTCCATTGTGTTGATATGTCACAATGCCTTTTATCTATCAGTTGATGGACATTGGGTTGTCTCCACTTCTTGGTTGTTAAAAACAATGCTGCTTACAAGATTTTGTGTGGACATATGTTTCCTCTGGTATGTATACCTAGGAGAGGAATTGCTGAATCATTTACCATTTTGAGGAACTGCCAATCTCTTACCATTTTATTACCCCAACATTTGTTATTGTCTTTTCTATTTTAGCCATCCTAGTGGATGTGAAGTAGTATCTCATTGTAGTTTTGATTTGTTTTTCCCTAATGACTAATGATGAGCATCTTTTCATGTGCTTGTTGGCCATTTGTATATCTTTTTTTTTGAGAAATATGTGTTCAGATATTTTGCTTATTTTTAAGTGGGCTGTTGTTTTTTATTGTTGAGTTATAAGAATTCTAGTTATAAATTCCTTATCAAATATGTGATTTGCAAATATTTTCTTAAGCTGTGGGTTGTCTTTACAGTCTTGATGGTATCTTTTGAAGAACAAAAGTTAAACATTTTCTGAAGTCCAATTTATCTATTTTTATAAAACATGAGAAGAATCACTCTCCAGTCTCTGGTGGATGGCATGGTCTGGAACAGTGATTCTGAAATTCTGAACATCAACCTAGTAAGCAGCACATCTTACTTTGGGATCCAACACCCACCAACAGTATATACTTACAACGTTGAACCATATTGAACTTAAATTCATAGTAAAGAGCTTTCAGGAGATCTCTCAGCTACCCTGGCAGGGGAAAGGGTGCTTAGAAATACGGTGATTTCCTGCCATTGGAAGTAAGTTTAGACATGTTACACCATTCATGGGGTAGGTCGTAAAGGAGTTTAAGAATTGAGCTGGACAAATCTTCCTAAAACTCATGTCTAATTAGCACCTGTGGTTCAAAAACAATATGGAAGATAGTTGACCACTTCCTGCTTCAGAGACAGCCATCTTCTCACTGAGTCCTCACATGGTGGGAGGAGTGAGAGAGAGCTCTCAGGCAGCTCTTGTCAGAGCATTGATCTCATGAAGAATCCATTCTCATGACCTAGTCAGCTTCCAAAGGTCCCCCTCCAAAAACCATCACTTTGGGAATTATGTTTCACTGTATGAAATTCATTGTTTGGGGGATAGACCAAACATTCAGTCTAGAGTATATATGAATTGGGAAAAAAAATCATTTAAGAAGCTTGTGTATCCCAGAAAGGGAAGTGCATTGTGACAGTAGAATCTGTTACAAAAGTGCAAAACAACCTCACTGAGGGGGCGGTTGGGGAACTGCTTATCTAAGTAATTGTAGAAATGAGGAGAGACTCAAGGCAATAGGAACCAGGCATAAGCACTGTACTCTAGATGGTAACATGTTTCCCATAGCAGTACAGGTTAACACTTCTGATGCTTGCACATTAGAATTGAAGCAAATGGATGGCATATGGTAAAAACCATTCCTGGAGGGAGATTTTACAGATATACAAGGGAAGGAGGCTAGAATGATCCATGTGATGATGGATTAGCGTGGAGATCACTAAGAACTCATCTTCACCTTAATATATGTATAGATGGTTCCATATAGAAATGTTTATAGATATGTCTATATACACAAGTTAGTGTACACCTATTTCTTTGCCGGATAAGGTCTAAAAGATAACCTGGTAGCAACATGCACACCTAATGCCCAGATCTTGGTTTGTAATATCACTCTTCAATAAAATGGACCAGGGCTCTTTGGAGAACTTGTGGTTGTTGGCAGATTTTTAAAAATATTTAAGATGGGGGGGCGGAGCAACATGGCGGCGAGGAGACGCTGCGAGTAAGATCTCCCATTAAAAAAAGTGAATAGGGAGGAAAAGCGGCAGGTCCCAGTGAGAACTGGGACACGGAAGATAAACGGGTGACTCCAGCAAACTGCCCAAAGAAGAAAGTTGCCATAAAAGAGGACCAGAAGGGAGGGAAGCGCAGAACCCTGCTCCCCTCCCCCGCCCACAGAGGCGGCACTCTCCGACCGGCAGAGGGGAGGAAACAACAAACCAAAACGGCCAACAAGAAAAACGGACGCAGCAAGCCGGACTGTGCGTGGAAAGGAACTATTGCAGCCACCACACCCCGTGAACGGGAGCTGAGGCGAACCCTGCAGGATTCGCCGCAGCGGCGAGCGAACGGCTCCGGGCGCCATTAGAGAAGAACAAAGACCCCGGGAGACGCGCACACAGCCCGGGCTGCCGGTAAGCTGGCGCGGAAACGCGGCGCGCTCGGCGCGCTTGAAAAGCAAGTGCAGACCGGGATCGCAGCTGCCCAGGTCCCCGCGCCTGCGACCTAGGCTTGGGAGACGACCTAGGCTTGCGGGGAGGCGCGGAGGTCCTCACTGAGGTGAAGGTCCCTCCCTGAGTAAGCAGGAACCAGGCGCCCAGGCACGGGAGGGGTGCAAAAGGCGCCCTTCCCGCGCCACTGAACTGGGCTACAGCCCGCGTCCTGGAACTGAGGGCTTTGGAACTGAGACCCGGGGCACGAAATTAGGGGCGTGGGTTCCCCACGACGGTGGGGCACAAGGCAGACACAGCACCCCAAAGCCGTTGAGGTGTACCCTACCATCCCCGCTTTGCTCCCTGTCCCACGGCGTGGAAAATCAGCTCCCCAAGGGCTCTAGGAGAGATCTTTGGCGCCACCTAGCGACTTGTAGACAGCACAGGCTCCTGAAGGAGCTAGTGGCCAGCTGGGGAGTTAGCCCACACCCAGCCCCTTCCGAACAAGTAGTCTGAGCCCACAGGGAGAGCGAGCACCCACAGCCGGGGCAGACCAGGCACGCAGAAGAGTGTGCCTGACACCAGACGCGCAGGGAGTGTGTCCCACATCACCATTTTAGAACAGGGACATTTCTTCAGTAAAGACTACCTGCAGAAGGCTTCCTCAGGAGCCAGAGGTGAGCGGGGGAAGTTCGCCCACGCCAGACCCCCTCTGGCCTGCAGTCCAAGCCCAGAGGGGGAGCAGGAACCCACCGCCGGGGCAGACCAGGCGCACAGGGAGTGTGTCCCCACATCGACATTTTAGGACAGGGACCTTTCTCCAATAAAGACTGCTTGAAACTGACAGATGACTCCAGGAGGAACCAGAGGGGAGAAGAGAAGCCCACCCAAGATGCCGGCCAGTCCCAACAACACAGTGTCCCAACGCATACGGCAAATTAGAAAACAGACAGTAGGGAGGAGAAGAACCACACGCAACCTAGCAACTCTCCAGAGAAAAAGCACACCACAAAAAGAAAACCAGCCCCCAGACTGCAACGACAGTAACTTGGAAGAACTTCTGAGCCTTCCAGAAGAGAATTTAAAATTGCCGTGATTAAAAACTGACAGAAGTCATAAAGGAAAACAATGATAAGGGAAAAATAATCAACGATCAGAAGAATGAAATTGAGTCCCTAAAGAGGGAAGTAAAAGAAATGCAGGAGATTAAAGAATTAGTGGAAGAACTAAAGAATTCTGGGAAAAGCAATGAAAGCAGAACTGATGAAATGGAAGAACGAATAAGTGCTCTTGAAGACACAGAAATAAAAAGAACCAAAACAGAAAAGGAAAGAGAAGTACGAAGGAAAAAGAATGAAGAAAGACTTCGGGAACTATCTGACTCCATGAGGAAAGGAAATATAAGAGTTATAGGAATACCAGAAGGAGAGGAGAGAGAAGTAGGAACAGAGAA